TTTGGCCATCTGCATCCCCCTGCTGGCTGCTGGGCCCAGGTGTGCACTGCTGCGACCAGGAGCAGACTGCAAAGTATTTGGGAGGGGAGCTGACCCTCCCCAAGAACTCATCCTTTCAGTTTGTGCAGTTTGTGTGCTAACAGCATGCACTGTCACAGCTTTATTTTTAAATGGCCTTTCCCTTTATCACTGGAAAAATTTCTTTCCATTGACCTGAACAGAACTAGCAAAGTCAAGTGGAATATATATATTTTTTCCTACTCACTGAACATAGTCATTGTTAATCTGAGCATGTTAAAACCAAAAGGGACAGGACCTGGGAGGTGGTTAATGCCAACACGATGGGAGCAAAGGAGAAGGGGTGAGGACCAAGCTTGTCAAAGGCAGAATTAAGAGTTTAAAATGGAAGCAAAGTGACTGTCGGGGACGTGAGGCATCCACCTGTATCGCAGAGGACGTGGTCATGGCACAAGACTCAGGGCTGAGAAGGGAAGGGAAGCAGTGGCCTTGTGGCACTGACAGCTGCACGCACAGCAAGGAGACACGTAGGAAACCATGGGAGATCCAGAGCAAGAGTCAGCAAGAGCAGTTTGCACAGCACTGCTGAACACACGGCTGTCAGCTCACTGGGAGAACGTTTCATAGCCATGCTGAGAACAGCAAGCCAAGGCAACACATACTCAGAGACACTTTTTGAATGTAACATCCTTTTCTTTTAAGCCAGACTTGGTGTAAGTTCAAGGTCTGGGGGACACCATTTCTTTTCAATAAGCCATGACTTATTTTTGTCAGGATAACATTAATAAACAGCAATTAGCTATGCAAATGCTAATTTGCAAAAGCAGCATTTGAAGGTCAGTGGGTAGCACCACGGTCTCATATGCAGATGAAAGGAGGAGCAGCCCTGCATTCAGATCTCAGCCTGCTGTGGATGCCCACAGCTCCCTGCCGGGGTGCTGCTGCCTGCAGAGGGCTGGAAATGATCTTACAGCTCCCCTGGAAATGCTCCTTGAAGCTCTCCCTTTCCAAGAGGAGTTTCCTCTTCCTAGCACAGAGGGGTAGAAAATCTCTGATCAAACCCAGTGCCAGAGCAATGGCCTGCAATAAACCTGCCTGGGCTGTCTCAGCATTAGACGTGCTTTGAAACCACACATCTCCTCGAGCATATTACCTCTGCCTAAAAGCACTGCTCAAGTGCTCCAGTACAGAAAGATGCCACATCCCTGGGGGTGACACACGGGGGAATCTCCTCCAGCTCCATGTGGAATGGGGACATGTCTGTCACTCGTCCCATGCTGCACACTGCTTTAACAAAGTGCTCCTGGTAAAGAGCAACCCATAATGATTCTTTTGCCTTCCTCTGGCTTTAAAAGCTTTTGTTGGTTAAGCTGGAAATGCCCCTCGATGTGAAATATGCTCAGAGCAGCCCAAAAGCTTTTCTTCCAATCAATCACAACAACAGGAGGAGAAGAGTCCTTGAAGGGGTGAAGGGGGAAATCGATGTGTGTGATATCCTCATTACTCCTCCAGGTGTAATGCACACACATGGAATATGTGTAAAGGGGTCTCTGGGGCAACATCTGCTTTTGCTTTGAAGCAGCACCAGAAAGCCAAGAGGAGGAGCTGCAGCATGCAACAAGCAGACGTGGCACCTGTTTGACTATAGGAGAGAGGGCAAATGGACTTCTCTTTCCATGCTGAACTAGGTTTGTGAGTTTTTAATTTTTTAACGCAGAAAATTCCAATTCTAACTGTGAAATTCATCTGCAGCAGGAAAAAAAAAAAAAAAAAAGAAAGTACCAAATCACAGCAATCCATCAGGTTCTGTCAGAACTGAAAACATGTGCAACTCATTCACACAGTGCCAGACGTGCAGGGCAGAGCACAGCCTCCTGCTGAACTGTTTGGATGATATTTAACTGCAGCACAATTCATCCTGGGGGGATCCTGCCCGGTAAGCCTGGGAGGTGGGGAGGAAGAAAAATGTACATGTGCTTCTGTGTGATTCCATGCAGCCCAAATTCAGCAAAGACAGTTGTTTGTTAGCCATACATGTTTACCTAAAAGCTAATTAGAACTGTACTGCAAAACTTAGGGGCTGAGGATGGTAAAGGTGAAGTTCAATGAAGGTTTAATTACTGGAACAATCACAGAACGTTTTGGTTTGGGTGCCTTTGGCAGCAGCAGGAGCTGCAGAGGCACCTCAGCTCCAGGGACAGCAGTGACATTCGGCAGAAACAATGGAACACTGCAAGGAACAGCAACGTTCAGGAGTCCCCAGCAGATGACGTTTTTGCACAGAAGCATCATCAGTGCAGAACAGAGCGAGACTGCTCCACACACGGAGTGATCATTACTCTGCTGCCAATGTTTTTTCAGCTCAGAAAGCCAAAGTGCCCTCATTTCTGGGAGTGATGAGCCGAGCTTGGCTATAATGGCCGTTCAGAGCATTAGTACCAACACCTCCTCTCTAAAAACGTGTGTTACTGGTCTATGGAAAATTCCCATTAAGATAAAAATCATTATAAAAATATTTTAACAAATTGGGACATGGCTATTTTAATGAAAATGGATGCATTTTCATTAATAAGAGAAATATTTGCTTTTTCCTAGGTGCACCACAGCAGCAGCCGCAGTGACTTTGTGACCCCGGCACAGAGCAACACTTTCTAACTGGAAACAGCATCAGCAATGCCCAGCACATCTGAAAACTTGATTTCTCTTTAAGGCACTGCTAATGACAGCAACGAAGGCCGTAGTCACAGCAGATAAGACCCAGTCCATCAAGCTGCAGCATTAATTAATTGAATTATAATTAACTCAGGGTTCGAGTGAACATGAAAATGACAGGTCTGACACTGTATTTCTACCATTAAAAAGAAGATCAAAACAATAGTATCAGCTGTCTACATGAAAGTGAAAACAGGAGAGCACAATGCTTGTTCTGTGTGCTGAGTGCTCCTGCTGCCCCCACCCACCTCCATGGTGCTGGGTGCTGGGTGCTGGGGCTCAGGGCAGCCCCACGTCCCTGGGATCTCCTCATGCTGGTGAGGCTCTCTGTCCTGATCCAAGTTCCCACATGCAGTGCTGCCCTGGTGCTTTCACTCCTGCTTCTCCAGGCAGGACTGCATGCAGGAGCTTGGCCCGTCACTGCCTCTAACCAGGAATCCCAAAAGGTTTTGATCACATGTATTTATGTGACAGCAAGCAAAGCCAATAACCCAAACTTGTTTTTGTCACCATCTCGAGGTTCCTGCTCACAGCAAATGCCTTATCAGCCATTTAACCCTCAGCTTCATGGCAAGGCACAGCAATGAGAGGAAATACAAAATCAACAGGGCAGCTGCGAACTATATCCATGTTCTCACCCTGATTTAATAGCAATTCACGAGGCTTTGCACTGATGTGCAGAACAAAAAGGATTACAGGGTACTTGCACCTCACTCAGATTTAAGGGAGGTGAAAATCAGCCATCAGCATGCAGATGACGAAGAGCATGCAGAATTTGTCCCCCAGGACGATCTTGGCAATGCAAACCAAAGCAGCACCACTTTAGCTGGCATGGTGCAGCCTGGCCAGGCCCTGCAGCTCTGAAGCTCAGCCTGGAGGTGGAGGAACAGAGGACATGGGCACAATGTGGGGGAGTGGGAGAAGCCAGGCGGCTTCCCTCTGGACCCAGCCCTTCCCCAGTGTCTTCTCTTGCTACAAATGCATTTTTCCATCACGATGCCACGTGGACTTCAGGCAGAGCTGGGCCATTAGCAGGGTCTGGCTGCTGAACTCCAGCTGTCAGCGTGGTCAGTGGTTTGCAGTAGATGAGAAAGTCCCTTGTGCCAGAAAACACCTCCATGCTCATTTTTTATCCTTTTTTTTTTTTTTTTAATTTCAAGATGCAGTTCATTCACATGAAATGGAGCGTGCCCCAAGAAGGCCTTTCCACCTCGCATCCTCTGTCGCAAGCTCAGGAAGCCATAAAACTGGCTGCTATATATTTTCCTCTACCAGCCAGGAAACCTTGGCTGTCATTCAGGAATGTGCCTGGGATATAACAGTGCCACCGAGCCTAAAGCAAACCTGCGTGTGATAGGATTTATTGGCACCAAAACAGCCCTGAAAGAGCTTCACCGGGACCAGGCTGTGCAATAATGGGTACAGGATACAGCTACAGAAAGGATCCTGAGCCTGAAACCCCTCATCAGGCAGCAGGAAGGAGACAGCACACGTAATTACCCTGTTTTATCGGTGTGGAAGCTCTTTGCCATAAATTGCACGAGCCTTGCGCTGAGCCAAGAGAGGAGTCCCAGGAACAAAGCCCATTTACTACACTGGCAAAGCCATGGGGCCACCAGCCTGCTGCAGGTGGGGACACTGGTTGTGCTGGGGACACGTGCTGCATGAACCACGCTCAGGCTGCAGTAAACAAAGTGGGGCAATGCACAGCAGTTAAACCAGTGCTTTTTTGCTGTCCATATTGAAGACACTGACCTCTTTATGCTCTGCGCATCTCTTATTGAAAATAATGGAGCAGATTTCACCTTTGTAGCTTATTTCCAACGAGCCAGCCTCCGTGCCCCTAAATGAATGATAACAGCTGCTGTGCTGCTGTAACTCCCGTGCAGCAAAGCGTGTTGAAGCCTGTTAGCTCCTGTTTGTTCTCAGCACGGATCATTGCTTCTTCCACTGCTGCGGGAGCCAAAACCAAAAGGTGGGCTCTATGCAGAGGGCTTAATGGCTGCACTGACAGCAGTGGGAAGGAAGCTGCAGCCGCAGTGGGCACGAGATGCACTGCAGGGCACTGGGGATGCCAGCACTGACTCAGAATGGGTCTCAGGTACAAAGCCCCACATATCAGTGGTTTCCAGCCACAGCTGCATGAAGGCACAGTGAAAGCTCGCTATGCTTACTGCTCAGGTTGGCTCTGTGAAAGAGGGCTGCTTCGTCTCTTTTGTACCTCTGAGCCACTGTCAGCCTTAAGCCGAGGACATACAAGGCAAGAATTATTTTGAGCAACTTGAGGATGCTTTTTATTGCCTTTTTAAAGAAAAAGAACTTTCCAGAAGCAATCATCTTTTATTCTGCACATGGTCACATTCAATATCATGAGCACAGAGTGCACTTAGGCAAAGCAAGGGCAAGAATTCATGTAAAGAAAAAAAAAACCATGCTTTTTGTCCAGTCCTCCAATTAACTTTGCAGGCAATTTGTAACTGGGACTTCGTAAAAAATCCTGAGGCGCTTTTTATAAGTAAGATGGAAAGTGTTTTGTTATTTTTTTCATCTCACAGGACTTTTCCTTTTCTTTCTCTGCAGCAAAAGCAAACACGTCAATAAATAAGGAATGAATCTCTAAAAACTTTCTTCGAGTCAAAGGCAACCTGAAATTATACAGCCTAATTCCTTCTGAGCACTCCAGCCTGGCCGGTGCGTGCGTCATTCCCGGAGGCAAGTGCTGCATCTCCAAAGGACAGTCCATTAACCAGCACAAAAGCCCCTCTTTCTCTTTGACATATCGGATTAGATTGCACGTTGACTCAGTGTCCTCATCCCCTCTCAGCGTCAAGTCCTTTAATTCGGCTCTGATTGCTGGCACAAGCAGCAAAGTCCTCTGCAAACATCACTTTTCCTGCACATCTGAAGGCTGGCGATGCAAAAAAACAAATCCTGGATGGTCCGACTGTGAAATATTTTTTGCAGAAAAGGAGCTGCTGACTTCACTATTATCTCTGGGGCTCACTGTTCACTTCGGGATGAGTGTCGGTGGAGAGCAGCAACTCCCTTCCCCGCAGCCTCACCTGGCTCCTGGTGCATGGTGAGAGGACATTGGCAATTTCAGCAAGTCCTTCGAGCTGTCATGAGGGTTTTGTTACCGAGAGAAGAGCCAGATGTCATCTCCTCTGCAAGAAAAGCAAGTGTCATAAAAAGACACTTGAGCTGTTCTGGTTGTTGGCAGCAATCATGAATGTGTTGGGTAAGTTAGGTCGCAACAAGCATCAGGACGGGAACTTATTTTGTCTTTCAGACTGTTCAGCCTCCCTGTACCTGGGAGTCATTTGGAGAAGGCTTTAAACCTGGCACCAAAACAGCAGTGTCATTTCTAGGGGCAGGGAGGGGGTACAAAAAAAAAGGATTATCTGGATTAGCTGTCTGCTCGTGGAATTAGACAGGGCTTGAGAATTGAGTACATTTCATGACATGCAGGCCAGCACAGCACTCAGTCCATGGGACAGACACGGCTGGTGCCAGGCAGTATGGGACCGACTCTATGACAGCATGGCACAGGAATACAGAAACACACCTGGAAAAAATATTCCCCAGACCAGAGCTTTTCAGCCACTCAGTTCCCAAGAGAAGGAAAATGCTAATTCTTCTGGACAAGATCTGGTGGCCTCAGACCCCTCCTCCAGACATATCCACCCAAGCACATTTTCCCACTTCTCCTCTTCTATCAACAGTTACTTCACGGGCTTTGCTCTTCCCACATCCTTCTTTTTCTTTCTTTCTTTCATTTCTTTTTTCTTTTCTTTTCTTCTTTTTTTTTTTAATCTCCCATCTGTTAACACCTCTTTTATTATCCTGTGCACTTCTCAAGTCACTGACTGCCATCCACATTCCCTTCCACCGTACATCTGCTGTCGTTTGCAGTTTGGACATATTTTCAGATGCCCGTTTGAAGGCTGCCTTAAAACCTTAATCACATCTGTTTCTCCCAGCCTGAGATAATTGGGTGTTAGAGACTGCTTCTTTTGCTTATTTTTAGAAGAAGGCATGGCTCCTTTACAGGTGTTTCAGCGCGCTGGGGGAGGGAAGAGGAAAAAAGTCAATTATATGATCTGAAACTCTCCAGTGCTTCCCCAGCTCCCTGCCCTCCTGTGCAGAAATTGTTGGTGTGCTGAGGTGAGAGGAAGTGCCCCAGCAGCAGAAAGGTCCCGTTTCACCCGTCCCCAGGGTCCTTGTCCTCAGCTACAGCCAGGTCTCCACCACTTCTATTCTGCAAAGACAGAAGAGAAAATGCTCCAATCTAAGTAATTTTAAAAGAATGTAGCGATTATTTAGCAATCTTATGCAAATTAGGGTTTCCTCCGGTACACTTAGCTAATTATGTGGGATTTAAAACTGGAAACACCACACATTGCTCAACAGCCAGCATCCTGCCCAGTTGTTAATTCCTCTTGAAAAGAAGGATTTAAATAATGAAGAACCATTTGATGTGTCTTTGTGGGTGCGGAAAGAAAGGAAAAACCCACTTCAGATCATGGAAACTTGCTTTGTAGAGAAGCTTCAAACATTAGTTCAGTGATGGCTGTGGCAATGTCTCGCTGCTGGCCAGGGCCAACCACCATTTTCCTTTGGAGCTGTGACCATGGGACAAGAGGCCCTATTAACTACGTGCCTATTTACGAAAGAACTGAGCCAACAGGCTGCTTTGCTGCAAGTTACTCAGGGAATTTATTAGGGTCAAATCTCAGAACTAAATGCAGACTTCCTGAATCCCTCCAGGTTCTGTAGCAACCACCCTAGGAGCACTTGGGTCTGTAACTGGAAGCTGAGAGATGCCAGGAAGGCAGCAGAATGGCACCCACCAGCTGTAAATTCAGCTCAGAAGCACTGGCTTCTGAAATAACACACATGCAGCCATTTTTCAGAAACTATATTGACAGTAAGAGTTGCATGAATGCCAGTAAATCTGTCATTAGCAGTGTAAATTAGCAAGATTTTTTTTAATAACCATCAGAAAAAAAAAACAAAAAAAACTAATCTATATTTAGCAGAGGAAGAATATAATTACTTAAAGGAACCTCTTTGTTCTTCTGTGCTGTGTACAAAACAAAGCCAGAATGTAAAAAGGGCACGGGTAAAACAGCCCTAATGAAAATTGCTTTGAACATAACACTCCTCCTGTAGTGGTGGAGGGCAGGGGTGTAAAAGAGATGAGAGCTGGGTGGGGAATAAAGCACACTACCCGTTTTCCACAAAAAGCACTGATTCCTAGGATCAATCTCAAGGGCTTGGGCTGGGCTCCCACACCTAGAAAGCTGCTCTCAGTTTGTTAGTGTACACAAATTCACCAGCAGCTCTAGAAATATTTGTACAGGGTAGTGGAAAGGAGTGGGTGGATTTCTCCATTAAGCCACTCGCCTGTAATTTCTTGTGGAAAATTGTGTATCGCTTCAATTCTACCGAGACACATTGAAAGAAAACGTGAAGGTCATCAGAGCAGTCATTAACATTGCACACGTGTGCAGATGACGACGACAGCAGGTTGTCACTCACCAAGAGCTGCCAGGGTCCTGAGCACGCACACACACACAAGCTGCTGCGAGTGCTGGCACTGGGCGTGAGGGTTTTGTCTGGGAGGAGAGAGGAAAACAAAGCTTTGCTTTGGATCTGATAAATGGGTCTCTCCTGAGTGCTCTGGGAAGATCTGCAAGGGAAAAAAAATGACAGTCCTGCATGTACATGAATTATGTATCAGGAGCATTTGGAGGGCTGGGGCTTTGTTGGGAGGCAATAATTTTCAGGAGAATAGGAAGAGGGAGGCAGTATGTTTGTGAAGACTGTACTAATGGTATAATTCGTGATGGAAATCGTCATAAATGCCTGCTTCCTTGTTTGTATCTGTTCACACTTTGACTGCTCACTTTTCCCTGTTCCTGCCCAATCCCGCTGCTCCTGTAGCTCCTCCCTATCCCTACATCCCCATCCACGTTCTCCAGCTGTCCTGTTGAAAATTTTTCCCTCCTCTCAGTCTCTTTTTGACTTCACTCAGATGCTCCAAGGCATTTTGTTAAGCGCAGGATTTTCCCTTAAGGGAGGTAACAGGACTAGCCCATTGCCAGGGCTGTTTGATCAACAGAAGCCAAACAACGGAGCCAGGAGCAGAGCTGTGTGACTCATATTCCTTGCTCAACAGCTGCCTCAAACACGGTGCTGTTTCCCTGGTCTTACCCTCCAGATCTTAGGACTAGTACTTCCCAAGACTGGCCTTCTGGTAGCTAACAGGCTCCTCACAACTTTCATGTCTGCAAAAGCAGACTGTCGCTACTCTCATTGCTGCACTGCAGCTGGGGACTCTGCTGACAGCAATAACAGAACAAAGTGCCAGATTTCAGCTCCACTCACCAGGTACCTACCAAGAAGGCAGAGACCCCATCACTCAATCCATCTGCTACTGCTTCCACTCTGCCTTGCAGGAGAAAGCACTGGAAAAGCTACTGTGATGTGTGGTAATAGTCAATGAGTAGCTCAGAGTGGAAAGAAAACTGCACGCTAAGAACCCAGCACACTGATCATCAAGTTCATTGCTGGTTTAAGAGAGCACAGATTGAACAGAATAAACAAATTGTGCCAGCTGCAAAACTTCTGGCAGATGGAGCAGGAAAAAAGCAGCCTAGGATGCTGGAATGATCTTCACCTCTTCTGAGGGAGGTATTTCTACAGTGAATATATTTAAGAGATGAAAAAAAAATCTCATGCAAAGATGATCCTGCTTCTTTTTCAATGTTTCTCTGAAATAATTATTTCAAACACAGCAGCTCTTGAGAAGATCAATGGCTAGCATTATAAAAATATCTCAGCACAGACAGATCACTGCTGAAGAAAGAATTATTACTAAGGTTCAACTTTACGTTTTGGTATTAAATAGAGAATATTTACAGCCCAGAAAACTACATGTTTCAAGATCTGAGATGTCATTTTTAGCTATGCATTAATCTTTTAGGTTCACATCAACCACCATCATCCATTAAGTCAACAGTTATTTTTCCTACCTACCTCCGAGATGCCCTGAATGAATCCATCAGTCATGTAAGTCTTCAGTTCTGCTGCTGCTGGAAAGAAGAAAAAAAACACGTGGCAGAAGCCAGGCAAGAAAAGTTTCTTCATAACTCATCACTGAGCCACTTTTTAAAAAATGGGTACAAAACACCTCTTATCTACATGAAGATATTTAAGACGTAAATCAAAGAAAATTGCTATGCCAGATTATGGGCATTTGCTGTGAGATTCTAAGACACAAGTATTTAATCTATTTAAAATTAATTCCAAAGTCAATTTTAATGTTGCCGTGCAACTGAAACTGCAGGCTCTAGCAAAGGTGGAAGAGGATGCAGTTAAAAAAAAGGTAGAGGTCCTGTAGAACATCTCTGGTACTCATAACCCTCAATCCATCTCCACACCATTGGAAATGAATTTCACATCAAGTACGGGTGCATGCATGGAGTCAGAGCATCACACCTGTAGAACAGAGGCGCAGACATCTCCCTGTAGTTACTGCTGCCATTACAGTGTGGCCTCCAGAAGATTTTAGTCTTGTTACACGGTACATACAACAAATGTACGAAGTACATTTCTTTGAGCAGCAGCCTCCAATCATGCAGTGTCACCTCTGCACTCCCTGCAGGGCTCAGCCTGAGCTTCTCCTTCTTGTCACCTCGGGGCTACAATGAAAGGTCTCCCCATCAGCACAGTACCCTTCAACCCAGGTTACGTGTCACTTGAGCAAAGCAAACAACCAATGATCTTAATTTTTCTGATGTCGAATTGGGCCGTAGAAGCCTAATATGATCAGAATGAAATCACACCAGTAGGCAGCAGCAGAGCTGGGATCAGAGCACACTCCCACCAACCTGATGCTCTGCCCACACCCAGTCCTGCCCTACTTTTAGACAGTTCCAATTTCCAGATTCATTTTCTCTCTCAGATCTGCTTGTCATGTTGTTAGGATGTTGCAGGGAATAATGCTCCAATCTCCTGTTTTGGGAACACGTAAGCTAAGAGGATAGTGACAGGTGAGAGGTACAATTCACAAATAGCTATTAATTATCAAAGCCTTCTGAAAATATTTATCTTAATAAATTAACAGGTAGAAAGCTCAGTGCAATTAGCAGGAGAGTCCACAGCCTGATGCTGTGCAGTTGGCCCAACTTTAATTAGTTAAATGGCCACATGTTTGCAGGAATCTTGACAACCAAAGGCAGCAGCTAATAACAATCACAGTGCTAAGCTAAATTGTGTATACATAGAAATTGTAATAAACTAAAACTGAAGCTATAATGCAACCTCTCAAGAATATTTCCTGCAGATATCCTTAACTCTTTTATGCCCAAGGCCTCACACACAAGCCTCACACAAAGTGCTCTGTTTCCCACAAGACAGCTGAGAGATTTTTCCATCCCTTTGGTGAGGGTGAACATTTTATCAGCTCTACTCAAAAGGAAAAGCTGATTGCTTTCTGTGCTGGCAGCAGCTACCTCCCCACTTCCCACTCAGTGCAGCATTCCATCAGCTTCAGACCCACTGGTAACAAAGAACGTTTTGCAGTGAGGAATCAGTCTGTTATGATCTATATTGATAGGGAGAAAGGGACAGACAGACCAGCACTGTGCTAGAAATTAGCTGCTTTACTGTATTTCTTTTGTCCCTTTTGAGTTTTCATGGGTTCCTGTAAGCACTGTGAGGTCTCACCATCCTGACAGTCCAATTAAAAGAAAAGTTAGATTTGAAGATGCAGTGTTTTAATACAAGCACTGTTTACAGCATTTTTCCTCATTATTTCATTACATCAACAGTTGGCAGAATAAAATCCATTTTATCTGATTTGTTGTTCATTGGCCTGACTTCCATTTGCAGACTGCTGAATTTTTGGAAAGGAACATTTTTACATCGCAGCAACAGCATTTCATTTTCCTCATAAAGGCAGGTTTTCTGATAGCTGCAGTTACAGCCACACAGTTGAACCAAGCTCTTAGGTATTTCAAGATTTAGCTCTTATCCCTTCCTCCCCTCTTAAATGTATTAAAATCTCCTGAACCTTTTGGTTATCAGCAATGGTTTCTCAAATGGCCCTGAGTTCTACCAGCCATGTAAGAGCTTAGCACTGTGGGAACCAGCAGAAGGTGAGACCCCACACAGTGCAGCACAGCCATGCATGCATCCCTTCCTCTTAGCCCCATGGCAGCCAGAGGCCCAGCCACCACCAGCTCTTTTTAAGTTATTTTTATACCACTTGGGCTGTAAAATAGGGAATAATTCCCTCTTTTCACAGTGTTATCTGAAGCCATGCCTAATAAACCCACACACGTGACTCAAATTACGCTGCCCACCAGCAAACAGCAGCCTCTTTCCATAACATGGCATAAGTCGACGTGCTGCTCATCCGGAATGCTTTTCAGATTGCTCAGCTATGCAGTCAGAACTAAAATACCCGTCTGAGAAGGTGGGGAAAAGCAAGAGATCGGCATGCCATTTTTATTTACTGGCAGATCATTCACAGCCCAGGCCTGTGCAGTATGAACAAAGGCAGGATTTGGAAGGCTTTTTACAAGCAGCCCATTCTACAAAGATCACACGTTTTCAGGGAGGTTCTACAAAACCTCCTCACTGCAAATTTCTGTCTAGGCAATGGAAATGGTACTGAAAGCTTTTTCTAACAGAGCAAGCAAGAGTTCAGCTGAACTCAAACTATTTGATTTGGATAGAAAAAGTAACCGTATAAGAAACAGCTTTCTATTACCTGTTCTTAAGGTAATACTTAATTTACAGAAGATGGCTGAGAAGCTGCTTTTGTACTGCTGACAATGCCACAATGAAATCAGTGACTCCATAGTGACTTAAAAGAAATTGCAGCTAGATTGTACTTTGTTGTATCTTTTATTAAGGCGTAAAACTCATTACCAGTGAAGGGATAAAAGGAGAAGAAGTTTGGTCTTGAAAATTCCAGTATTAAGATGATGAGGCCTCAGAAAAATGAGGCTTGAATGGGTTGTGAAGTTCAGAGTTGGAATAGGTTTAAGGTGTTTGTCAGAAACACAGACATGTGGCATGCCACTGCTGCTTTGGGGTCATCAACACATTTGGCCTGATGACCAGAAAAATGTCATTCCTTCCAGCATGAGACAGGCACTTTCAGGAAGCCCAGGATGAAGCTGATCCAAATGCATCGCTAGGCAAATGGAAAACAGGCGAAAGGGGGAAAAAAAACCCACGTTTATAAGCATGTGAGGACTGGACATTGTCAACCAGGTTTGCAAAATGCAGAGTCCTACTCCCAAACATATTCCTAACTTTCTTAAATCATAACTTCTACTCCGGCCTTGGAGGATTGTCAAAAAGCAGCAGCAAGTGATTCTGAAGGTCAGTAGCTCGACCATTCTGTACAGCAAGCAGCTGACCGCATGCATACTGCCTGCTGCCTTACTCTTCAGGTTCTTTGGCATAGGACTTAATACTCAGGAAATTGTCACTGTCACAATAGAACAACAGGTTCTCAAAAAACCATTATAAGGCCATTAGAATCATTAGGTTGTCAGAACTGATACCTCTTTGCCAGCTAAACATCACCAGACAAATGCCATCAGATCTGCCAGCACTGCTCACTCTTTTTACAGTATTGTCTTAAATTCAACATGGAATATCAATACTCGTCCATTTTGCATCCTTATCTATGATGCCTGAAAATAGAAATAGCTTTAGGATAGGATAAAATATGTGTTTAATTTTTGCCAAGTGTGATACCACTGAAGTCATTAGCCAATATTGGTTCCAACAGGAGATTATGAGCAGCAGGACTTGAACAGGCTCCCTTCACAGGATTAATAGATACATGCCTCATGATGCCTTTGTGTGCAGTGACAGCTTGAGGCTGTCAATTTCTGCCATTTCCTGATTAAAAGCCATCAGATAAGCTTACAGCTATTCAAGAAGCATGAACAGAGGATGCAGTTGAGGACAAATAGCTACATGATGTATGAAGACTTAAAGCATAGGAAGTTTTTGGCAATGAGATGTGCGGGTTCACAGAACATTTTAATTGGATCACATTCTAAGAATGTGCCAATATCCTGCTATTAGAACTCTCAGATTACATAGCATATTATCATTTTTAAAAAGTATCCTTTTTTGAAGGGAAGGGAGTTCAATGAAGGCTGCTTTAGTATACTGGCTTTTTTTCAGCCACTGAGACAATCTCTATTGCCTATTGTAGTAAGACAGAGATCATTCACCTTTGGAGTTAATATTCCTCTGTAAAGCTATTACAAAGACACACAGGACAGCTTCCCTTGAAACAGACAGACTGCAGGGCAAGGCAGTCATTTCAATCCTGATTAAGATAGCCAGTCTTTGATTGCTAGAAGAGAATCACAGAACAGCTGAGGTTGGAAGAGATATCTGGAAATCATTTCACCCGAGCCCTCAGCTCAAAGCAGGGTGAGCTGGAGCAGAGTGCTCACAACTGTGTGCAGATAGGTACTAACCATCTGCATGGATGAAGAGGACAGCAGCCAGAGAATTAGACCAGAGCAGAGGACCACAGCAACAAGATCCATTGCCTTGCACAGGCATGACTGGGAAAATGGATGTACCCACAGCCTGTGTAGCAGGAACTGAAAGGCCAGGGCTGAGCTGAAATAGAGCCTCTGGTCAGAGGATGTGGGTGAATGGACCATGCTGAGCCATTAAGGTCTATTACTACATTCAGGGCCCTGACAGGGGGAACACAAATGAAATAGAAATATATTCCCACTGATAGATTGCAGCACTGCTCACAGGAACAGTATGAATGCAAACAGATAAGGGGCCTGCACAAAAGAATAATGATCATCTATTCTTTGCTGAGAAAACCATTAACCTACAAACTTAAACACCTTCACTATTCATGATTCAACAGAGTAAACTGGTGGCTTCTTATTATGCAAATACATGAAATGCTTTGTTCTGGAAATATAAAACAAAACAATAGATTGGAGCATCTATAAAGAACTTTTATTCCTCTGTATGTCATTATTATATCAGACTTACATGTCACATATCTTCCCCACCATAACAAACCAAGGGAATTAAGAGGCTTCCCTCTGGTGATTCTGCACCTCTTAATAGCTGCCTGTTCACTATGTTGATAATCCACTGGGAGAAGGTTTCTAGGTGCAGACGAGTTGCTACAGGTTTCTAACCCCTCTTGCAACATATGCAGCTTGCTGTAAATGGACTGTAATGCTGCTGTAACACAGGCTTCTCCCACTTCCCAACCTTTCTTTAAATGCAACATGTGATTTTGATAAAAGTCTGTTAATCATTGCACTTGGTGATTCATAACCATTATGCACAAGGTAGGGCACTCAGAGACCTGTGGACATTGCAATTCTGATTATTTCAATAGCTTAATGCTGAAATATCTTTTAAGCTTACTCAGGCTAGAAAAATACTTATCTTTTCAGCAGTCATCCTTGGAAAATGAATTAAAACATTAAAGCTTCAGAAAGAAGGAACAGCCGTTACTTTTTCCTTCCTGGTAAAGCCAAACCCTCTGTCCTGTTTCTTAATCGCAGTTAAAGGTTAGTTTTCTTCAAGCTTTGCCATATCTGTAAGAAAAAAAAAAAAAAGCTGTTATACAAATGAGGGCTTAAGAGACATTCCCACAGTCACCAAGGCTACCACCTTCTAATAAATAAAGCTGCACAGACATCCTAGGATTGCATTTTAACAAGAAAACCTGAAGGCTGCTTTTTAAGGATGAAATATGAGCATACACAAGACTTCTCCCTGGAAGAACACATCCTTAGAATATATTTTTAAAAATGCTGGACAAGAGAATGCTTGTATCCTTAAACTGTGCCAGTTTCAGTGAAGAAATGTATCACACCTGCCACTCATTGTGTTGCCTGGGGAAGTCAGCATCTGTCCCTCTCCAGTCTTGCATGCTGGGATGTTCCTCACTTTATCACCAATAGTATTTATAATACTGTCAAGTACCATCAAGAAATCATCACATTTTCTGTTCAGAGATTAACAGTTTAGTATTCAGTCTTAAAAATAAGTCTGCATCAGCATCCATCTACATTTGTGGCCGTTTTGTCTGTACCAGAAAAAAAAAAGACACAGTAGATCTCCAGAGGAGAGTATGGCAGCAATCCAAAAATGGCAGATTAGCACAGCTTTTAAATTGGCCTGGCAGAGCTTTTTGTTATGTTTATCATGCTAAATGATCAGGATTAATGGTTGCCATGAGATTATCATCTTCATTCAAATTAAAGGTGTTAATAGCACAGAAGTTTCTAATTCACTGGAAAGTTGAAGTGGATTTGTTATAAACAGTCAGGAATTTGCTTTAAGATGGCATAAAATCCAGTTGGGTATTTCTCCATCTACACTCACCTCCCGTGTAATCCAGAGCAGGGAATATTAAGGTGAAATCAAAGACACTTTACATCAAGAATTATCAGGAATCCTCTGATAGAACAAACAGAATAACAGACAAAATACCACACCAGCTGACCATCAGAAAGACAGAAAGCTATTCAGCCGGTAGGCAGGTATTAGCTTCCAAACTGCTTCAACAGCATCTTTCCCCTTACAAGAAATACTCTTTCAGTGCTGACAGAGCACATCTATAACCAAAATGAAATATTCAGATCATGCTCACAGTGAAATCATCAACAGAAGAAACAAAGTCTGAAGTTCCAACTTTTAAGAGCTGCACCTTCAGAGAATTTCCAATGACTTTTCATATAGTCAAATAAACTTATGGAACAAAAACAAGTATGTTAGAACAGTGTAATGCTGCACTGAATGCTTTCAGAACATGAGGCAAAATTAAAATTAGTGAAGAAGATGATGCTTTACTAACCTCAATCCACAGGTCTACTTCTTTGCTTCATGGAGTTAGTCACTTGGTAAGGATGGGAGAAGTTAAGCATACAGTAAACTTGATTTAAGTAGAAATTTAATTAAAGGGGACTTTGCAATGCGTTTTCTTCACAGAAGATGATACTGCCTTAAATCCAGGAAAACATTACTTCTAATGTTATAATTTGTTGTTCCATTAAAAAAAAATGGGAGTATGGTCTCAGTTGTCTTAATGCATGAAGGTTAACAAGTGAGAAAGTGTATGTTCCAAAATTACTGGTGGTGTCAAAATGTTACAATATGAAGAGCTACAAGTGACAACTGATGTGAAATTGTGATCAAAGCCAAGACACTGCAGGTATATTTCAACAGCTGTCAGCTTCTTCGTAGAGCCAAGTAGTTCAGTGCCAAACCATTAACTCAATTTGATAGTAGCTGCACTTTGTGTAAGCAAGGTCTCTCTACTTGAAGGAAAATTAATTTTAAACGTTCTACACTAAGATCCCCAAATAATTGACTTTTGGTTTTATAAATAACAGGTTATCCAACAGCTGACTGAAGAGCCAACTAGAAAGCTAAGTCATTAAAAATAGAGTATCTTTAGTAATAGATACTATGCATATAACCCTTAAACTATAAGAAACTAGTGAAAATTAGAACCAAAGTCATAGTAACTACAATTTGATTACAGATCAGATCACAGACCACTCTAAATAAGAGATAGTAATTATGTCCCCCTGTTCAGAAATCTCCACTACTAACATCCAAATAAACAAGCATTCTTAGATAATCCTGTACCTGAAGTGAGATTAAAATTATTTTTCATCCTAAAGAAGCTAGACAGTTGTTATTTCAAAACCAGAAAGAATTAAAGAAAAGAAATACGTAACAGAAGTCAACCTCAAACAGTTAAGGACTCTACAAAAACTCTGGAGCTAATGAAAGATGTTTTGTCCTTTATTATTGTGTAATACTTTTATCACAGAAACGTAGTATTTACAAATATACACATATAGACTGCTGATCATAAAATGTTACTGAAGAATTAGTCAAAAAAATCAATATACAAAAACCAAAAACTTCCCAAAGATATTCTGCCTGAAAAAATTTAATGAAATTTCAAGGAGACAGTTCTGTACAGAAAGATAGGTTTTAGCTCCTCAAGTTCTGGTAATATTAGAGAGTTGTGAACCAAGTGAGCTACGCTCAGCTGTACATTTGAGATGAGGCAGTTTTAACGTTGTTCTTTTACATAATTTCTTGATGATCAGATCAACAGGTCTCAGGAGGCACTAGTTTGAATGTTTTTGGAAGCTGCAAGCATTGCTCTCACTTTGGCCATAAGATCCTGCACACAAGAGAAAAAACGATCAGGCTTGTTTGGGCTTTAAACAAAGATAAAGCATGTGACAGAAAAAGAAAAAAACAAAACTGCATGAAGGACTCTGATCACGTAAAATACTGAAATTCATGATCACTGGATAATAACAGTTTCCAGGCTAAGGAAGTGAAATAATTTGGAGAACGTTCATATCACAGCAACTGTTCTTGTAAGTCTGTTTTCACTGCAGTGCTACCAAGTGCTGTGCTTAAGTAACTGGAGTCGTTTCTAAACAACAAAACAAAGAAATCATCTTATCTGAAACAGAAAGAAATTGCATCTTCCTCAAAACTGTAATAAATACATAAATCTACTAACCAATCAAGGTAAAGAAAAAGTGCAAGAGCTCATTAAGGTGAAAGCACACACAATTCTTTAACAGAGAGCTTTTTGTAAAGCTGAGCCCAAAATTTACACAGCAGCACTATTTTTACATACAACAGTGAAAGAAACATTAAGACTACTGCGAACCCAAGAGCATTTCTCAATCTTGTCTGAGTATCCAGTGGAAACAGCCTTACAAAAGGAAATTTTCCACGTACACACATCTGATAATCGGGTTGCAAAACATGAGCAGAAAATAAAGAGTGTTTATCAGTAATAAATTACAGATTAATTAACACAGTTCTTCACACATGTAATGTAAATAATCCTTGGTACTTTTAAAGCATTTTTCATCCGAAGCTCTCAAAACACTTGATTGTAGAAATTCAGCATCACTATTTCACTTTGCAGATGTAAGGAAGTGAATGAGAATAGATACTAAAACCAGGGTAAACTAGCAGATTGGCAGTAAAAAAATCTTTCTAATAATGAGGCAAATTAAAATTTCTTTGGACCTTCACAGATAAAAACATGCCAAACTAAATTATGCCAGGAAATATCTTGGAGATACACAGAAGTCTAATTCTTCTTCCTTATTTTTTGAGAACTGTAAGAACTGCACTTTAATATCATTTCTAAGCTACTGAAAGGTGCATTTTAAACTGTACTGCAAGTCGATGTGCAGTGCTGGCGATATATGCTCCTCTTAGAGCTGCCCTTTCACAGAATCATAGAATCACCAAGGTTGGAAAGGACCTCTAAGGTCATCCAGTCCAACCATCCACCTACCACCAATATTTCCCACTAGGCCATGTACCTCAGTACAACATCTACACACTTCTTGATCACCTCCAGGGACAGTGACTCCACCACCTCCCTGGGCAGCCCATTCCAGCTCCTTTGAGCAATCAGATGAATACTAGCTAGCAAATCCTGTGGCATAAACAATATTTAATCCCAGAAACTCATGAACTTTACCTTTGTCTAAAAGAAGTATGTTTTTAAAAAGGTAAGGTATTTACTGTACTTTTAAGACTTAATGTCTCTACTCTTACCAGGAATTTCCATGCATTTCTCTGGTAGCTTATGAAGTGCTACGGTGTCAGTATTCCATTTTCTTTTGCCAGTGCCTGCACTTCCTATTTGATTGCATATTCTTGTTTATGGTTTCTTTTCAAAATGAATGACATATTTTATGTAAGATATTAGTCTACTTGTATTAATTTCCAATTACTTCTATTTCTCTAGAGGAACTAAATCTTGGAATGATACTGAAAGGATAATCTACTCATTAAAAAAAAAAAAAAAAAAAAAAAAGGGAATATAAAAAGCAATTCTGATTCTATATTGTAAATTTCCCAGAGCATAATAAAGAGCTTTCCTCCTCTACACTTGGCATACTGAATCGAAAGAAGTTCAAAACGCATGAAGTTTCTAAGAGGATGAGTAAAATTAAAAGTTTTAGAACAGTTTTTACCAGGCAGTAGCTTTTAAAAAAGAAACTGTATTATTTTGACAGAGAATAGATATCTTAAAACTGTGATAAGGATAGTGAATGCATTTAAATTACGGCATGCCACATAGATACAAATACCTGATACGGTTGTAGAAAGCTATGCTGTGAGCCACAGCAGGCTTGAATATAGCAACAAGTTCATAGGCATAAGCAGCAACAAGGGTAACACAAATGAGCTGTAGATATTGCTCAATGCAAAGCATGCAAACTAAAGTAAGCGTAAGAGGATACATTTTTCCTCCACTGACAACACTACAAACTTTGCTTGCCAAGACGTTCCTTCATTCTTTCATAGAACTTGTTAAGATCACTACATGATAAGACGGACTCTCAGTAATATCTGCTGCTTGCAGTTGGTGTATTGTTCTAGCATAACGTGGACTTTCATATCTTAACAGTATGCTGCATCATGATGAACAGGGCTTGATCTTTAAAGGTTTAATTAAACTTGAAAAGAGAGCTGCTACATAAGCAACAAAATTGCTTTTCTCATAAGCAAACAGATTGACAATAAACATGTCTCTATGCTGTATGCAAAGCTAGAACTGCACAAAGTATTATGAATTTCCTATGATGGACACACATAATTAAGCAACATGTTTAATTTGTCTATTTGTACCTGAGTGATTTTACTCTGCACTGAAGACACAATTGCTGAAGAGATTTGGCCATCTTTTTCCTGAGAAACTCCCCTAAAAAGTACAATCAGAATTAGAACAGCATATGTTTTCAAAATGAATTTCACTCATCACCACAATTTGGAGCACCACTGTACAACTATCTTATGCATTAGTCAAAAGTTCTATCATTCAACCAGAAGGCAGGATAAGGTCACAAGACTAACTCCTACACAACCGATTAAAAGAAATCTGAACAGGCTAGGGATTATCAGCAGGACTGTAGAATACTCTGTGGAAATAACCTAACTGTGAATTTCTCAGAGACCTGAAATTCAAACCATTCTGTTAAAATTTTTACTTCAAAGAGTTATCCCACTTAGTGAGAATTACAAACTTAGAATTACATTGTGGGATATTCCACACAACTGTTATCGTAGGAGTACGTCAAGATGTATACTTGAACAAGAAGCAGAACCTGTTTACCACACATAAGTGATCCTATTTCATCTCAAATGCAACATGAAAAATCCTTTGACAGATTAAATTTGTACAGGGATTTTCTATTTAAAATAGCAAGTGTAGCACAGAAAGTGTTATGTGTTTTCCAGGTTTTTAAATCTGATCCTGGATTACGTGAAAACTCCAGCAGACAACAGTGTCATTGTTAGACTGATGTACGCAGCACTGCTTTTCCAGTGCTCTCTACTTTAGTAAGCACACGTATGTATTTGCACACAGAGCTTCTTACCATCCAAAATATATCAAAAGACACATTCATAGTCAAGAGTCATCAGCATAAGAAAGCGTTATTACCTGGAGCGTTCCTGGCTGGATTCCCTGCTCTCCACAGGAGAGACGCTATTTGAATGCACAGAATTTTTGTGTGTGGATGGTTTGCCTGGTGACACAGCAGGTGAAGGAGACCTAGCTCTGGACTTAGTTCGTGATCTAGACCTCCTCTTCTTCTTCTTCTCATGGGGACTTCTGTGAGGAGAAAATACTCCATTGAAGGGTATCTATAGCAGCATGAAACTAGCTCAGTGGAAGGCACTTTTCACACTTCTAAAAGATTATGCAGTCCTCTTCCATAGAGCACATGCACTGAGGATGCATTACAGTTGTACCTCCATATCATACTTTTAAGTCCAACACTGCATTTCTCTGGCTGTATCAGAAGCTCTTTTTAATAAATTGCAATAAGCAACTGCTAGTATTTAAGGAGCCCACATGGAATACTACTTCCCAGGTACAGAGGAATTACAGACAGTATTTGATATTCTAAAGGGTAACAATGAAAAGTCTTTAATTGAAAATTTGCAGAATAACTTTGCTAGAAGTAAGTTCCTTTCCAAACAACATCAGTCACTTGGAATATAATGAGGAACAGAAGCATTTCTATTTCCCTGTATTTCTTAGCCCATAAATGAACAAACCATGGAACTATAGATAAGAAAAAGATCTGAAATGCAAATCCACAGTTGGTTTGCTTGCTTTTTAAAATTATCTCAAGTTGATGAATATGAAAAACAATCAGCTGAACTATACTGATGATGTTCTCATTCATACAAATCAATTCACTGGGGGCTGTCAAAAGATGGAAAACTATCTTATGAAACAATATAAATATTTTAAAAATCGCAGGTGAAAGTGATTGCTGCTTCCTACTCCACGAGAGAGACAGAAAAACAGCTTAAAGCCTAATCTTAATGGATGACAACAAAATTCTGTATGCTCAGTTTAGAAACCTTAAGGTATTACTGTATTTTGCATACACATTAGCTGCACATATAATGAATTTTAAAAATTCATTTGCATATTGACTTTAGAGACAAAATATTTCAAGCCTTTTGTGCACACACTTTCCAGATGCTTTTATTTTGCAACTGTTGATCAGAAATAACGGCGGTTATATTACCTCGATGGTAGCAGGTTCAGAGAGACTGCATGCAAGGTGCTCTCAAAACAGACATTACTTGTTTCATATTTCACATTCTATTCAGCCAGTAACATAATTGTTGAATGTAAAGCATACCATCTGCTAAGCTGGATTCTCCCCTTACTTGTGCAGATACAGTGAGTACCCAAGCAACTTTCAAATACCAGTAAGAATAACATAGCATATGACCTCTGTAGGGAGCCAAAGAAGATTTGAAACTCCAAATAAATCTCAAGTTTCACAGTCTGTAGATAGTAGTGTATTAATGCTTGCTAAATCAGTTGTACATTCAGCGTTCAAACATACTCACAATCAGGTTAAGAGGAACCAGTGCTTGGTTTTTCTTTATCCTCCACAGACGTATTTGTTTATTAAAACAGAGCCCCATAGCAAAAACATTTGAATTTTACGTAGAGATTATGCAATACTTCAGGCAACATTTAAAGTATCTTGTGATTCCAGAACATAACCTTCACTTGGATGAGCTGTACTTACTTGGATCGTGCACGTTTCCTACTATTTCCAGGACTATTACTAATGCGATAAGCTGTTGGAACACTCCTTTCCTCTCTCCGCCTTTCTGGTGTGTGAGCTCTCCTCCTAGGTGACCTTGATCGTGACCTAAGCAGGAAAAAACATCCAAAGGTTTGCTTTTTGTTACTTATGTTATTTGCACTGCTATTTTTATTTCAGTGGAATTGTGCTGTCACCAAAAGCAAACATATCACCATTCATATTTTTATTTTATACCAACATGGGGTACCTATTCTCCAAGACTTGTCAGTTGCACAAGAATTTCTTACCCACCCCACGCATTTAGGATGTAGTTATGCTTTTCAGTCCCAACAGTGGGGAAAAAGAACTTTTTTTCTTTCTTTTTTCCAGTATTGTGTGCTAACATCAGTATTTGTATTAGTAGGTGGGAATGTTTCTCTTCAGTGCAGTCACCTATTGTGGCAACAGAGTTTACTAATGCTGGTACACAGAAGTCCAATTTGGCCTGAAGCCTGGAACTGCCAGGCTTGACCTTGTCTTCTCAGATTAATGGTATGTTTTCAGAACTGCTGCATCATAGAGATAAATGCAAGTTTTTGTTTTCAATGCATCTCCAATACTGACAAGTCCAGGAAATTTTATCCCCGCTGCTGCAGAATAAACCTAATATAGCTAATATTTTCACCTGTGCAAGTGACCAACTACCCACAACTGGCATTGTTTGGCACTAGCACTTCAACTTTATTTTTTTAGTATTTTTTCCTAGAAAAAGACCAAGATGAAAATAAAGAATGCATGCCCAGTTAAGATCAGAGATCAACTTAACAGCATAACTCTTTTTTTTTCTATGATCTGCAATTAAGTGGATATGAAAAAAAGTGAGTATTTTTTAATAACCAAATAAATTGAATGAGAAAAGTCCTGAAGGATGGAAGGGAAAGGGAGATAAGGTTGAGAAGGGGACAAGATAAGGTTCCAGCTTGAAAAAAAAAAAAAAAAGAAAGAAAAAACACCAGACCCAAGATGTACCCCCAATTCTTTGTAGCTGCAGTTAATTTTGATCCCACTGACCTATATAGTTCTAATAATTTGTTTGCTTTCAAGTTTGTCTATGTACTACAGGTACACCATTCCATGTATACCAAGCACTCATTCTCTTTCATTCTCTTGCAGTGACCAAAAGAGAAGCAATTTGTGAAATCACTGATCTTCTGAAGACTTAAAACTGTATATTTAGCATATACACACGTTCCTGAGCCATTTCTCTTATACCTACAACAGAATGGATCGATTGAAAATGAATAAGTAATCACAATGGCAGTTAAGTGTTGCAAATTAACTGCTCAGTCCCTTAGAAATCTGATCTTTACCAGGCCTTTCAGAAGGAATAAAAAAGGAAAAAAAACAACAGATCATAAAGTTTGGGTCAGTCAGACACCTTGACATTTTACCAGGATTTCCCTCAAAAGAGCGCCAGCAGTCAAATCTTTTCGTTGTCGAAGCTGCCTGATAACTTTCCCGCTCTGTTGCTGCTGCCACTGATGAGCTGCTCAGACTCGGTTCCATGCTCAGTGTCCCTGTGGATGCTGTGAGTCTGTGATACGGAGGCACACACTTCACATTCAGAATAAAATGTGCTAGTTTTGGTATTAACTAGAATCCTGAAAAGGCTCCCTTAACCAAAAGCTGAACCTTAGTGAAACATGCCTATATGGACCAGCCTAAAAAAAGTCCAAACAATCAGAAAGAAAAATGCATTAGCTTCATTTTTATGAACTGGATATGATGGTTTTGGTTTTACAACATTCTTCCAATCGCTAAACGTTAAGAACTCCGGCCATTAGTTTCAAACAATTAAAAACAGCTTAACAGTTTTACTGTGACATTACAATTATTACCTTCATTACACTATTATTTCAAGACACTCCATTCCTTTAAAGTCAATAGAACTTGTATTAAGAAGCGTCCCAGAAGTTCAAAGGATTACAAAGCTTGGCATGTCTCATTACAACATTAGAATTAAAACTAAGTGAATTGATACTGCCTCAAAAGTAAGAGAATTGGTTTGGAACAAAGAGCAGTTACTTCCACGTTTCATTTTTCTGCAGATGAGGCAAAAAGTATCTCTCTCACACACACGGTATAAAGACAGTATAAAGAAATAGGATCAATATTCAACAGTTCCAAATTTCCATCTCTACTCTTGTTCAAAATAAACTTTCAGATTTCAACTAACCAAATCACTACACCATTCAATAAGCAAAGAGCATTTCTCCATCTCCTCCTCTCACACAAACCACACTTTCACAAATACACCATTAGCTCAGACGCGCTGCAGAGAGATCCACTGATAGAAAATAGATGCAGATAAACACAGTTGTTCCTTACTCTTACTGTCCACTTGCGAAATCAAACTTTCCACTGAGGCAGCATACCTCAAACTTCAGCAACTGACAATGTACACAATTCACGTGGACTTTTTAAGGCACCTCCAAGATGATTAGAAGCAAGGTACCACAAAGCATTTACTAGAATCGACCAGAAGGCGCCAAAGTCGGTTTGCCAACAAGGATTTAACACATGTGCCTCATTTTTGACATTAATTACTTATTTATAATAGTTATCTCTTTGGTACTAACATCTCCAAAATAAGCCACACTGGAATACCTTACAATTAAGTTTTTTTACATGGCTTACTCTTTCTATGGCTTTTGTTTAACTTGTCATGTTGGTCTAGAATTAAAGCTGGACCATCCGAGGAGCTTTACGGGACTGTTTGCACCCGAGCTCCCTGAATTAGCCACACTTTCTCACCCAGTGCTCAACCATTGTTTCAGGCCATAACTTGGCAATTACCATGCATGAGAAATAATTTTCTACACTAAATATGGGAATATGAAAAGAAAGAAAAAAATCACATCTAGCTAAGCACCAACATTTGCCTCTTCTGGGGAAATTACTAAGACAAGGCATTATTTTTCCAAAACATTTGAGAGACAAAACACTTGAGTGTCTCAGTGGGTTTTGAATCAGCCTCCCACTCTTCATTACTTGATTATTTTAACACCTTTCAAGTTTCAGGAGCAAGAGCTTTAATTTTGGAAATATACTGTTTATGTTAAGGTATAGCAAACACTCAGCAAAGCTTGGCTAACTATCACAATCATTTCTTGTACAATGTCAGACTGTGTGGATAATTTTTCAAGGACCTAATTAGAAATACAGGGCTAGAAAAACCTCAAGAAATCAGACTCCTTAATACTTTCCAAACCATCATTCTTAATGCAGAAATTTCCCATGATGAAGCTTTTACAAGCTGTATTAACCACTGAGAAACTATCAAAAGCTTTCTAGTCTCTCTTCTATCAATTTACATCCATTACTTACTGTCCAAACCCTAGAAACTGAAGAATAATGTTCTACACCTCTCTTTTTGGCATACACAATGACTCAATTAATCATTCTCCAGTTTTTTCAGTCATCATTCTAATTCTCTCCCCCTCACCCTATCTAAAGCCAAACAAATCAACAATAAAAATATTTCCCATTTTAAACATATCTCTATAAATCTTATTTGCAGTTCTGGAACTTGTCTTCTAGCTGAGGATTCACTCTATCAATACTATGTAACACCTGCTTGTCTTGCCTGACTTCTTCCAATGTCAAATTTTTACTATATTCCCATCAGCCTACTCCTCACTGATAAATAACAAAAAATATGTGATAAAATGATACATTTCCATAAAAGTAAACCAATACAGTCACCACATCAAGATCCAAGAAGAAGGTATTCTTTGTTAATTAGAGAATCTCAAGCAGAAGTTTAGTTACAATCTTGTGATATGTTGTAGTTAGTAAGGTAAATTTTGATTTCTAACAGGTCTCTTGATCAGAAGTCTCACATGTGTCCTGCAGAAATCTCAATGTGAACAGCTGACCACTCAGCACTGATGATACTGCCTTAAGTTCCCGTACTCAATTGGTTTCTGAACGGAAGACCCTCCAGAGGTCTTTGAACTGGTACGCTCAAATCAGAAAATATGATAAACGAGAGTCCTCTCCTGTTCAGTTCTAATCTGGCTAAAGTTTTATGATGTGCAAAATGTTCTCAGTGCAAGAATTGGTGCAGTTCTGAAAATTCAGCCAGCCAGCAAAAACACTGGACTTCTCAAGTGTATCATTCAACAGAGATCTAGGAAAAATCCATCCAAACTTAATCAGGTGTTGTGTTGACTCATTACGTTAGGACTACTATGTAACTATTAATCAATTTGTGCCAGAAGGCGCGTTCAGCATCGCACACAAAGATCAGCCTCACTGAGCAGCATACACAGGTGCTGATAAGAATCTTCTCAGATGATTCTTTTTCAAGGTGCTAGAAAAGAATATATATTTTTTAAATCATCACACTCACGTTACTAATTCTATCCTTATTTTTACCACTGATAAATAAAATAATGGATAAAAATACGAATCGTAGCTTGAATTAAGAGATGCTGGAGCTCCGAGTGAAGATACTTGACAGGGAGTCAAAAAAAAAAAAAAAAAAAAAAAAAGGTGATTCAGTTGATGAGATTTCTCCTCAAGATATCTTTAACTCTGAAAAGACTCATATTCAATTCATATGCAAGGAAAGCTTAATTTAGCACCATTCCATTTACACATTAGTTATGTACAAAAAAGGAATGGTACCAGATTCTGGAATGCAGCTAATAACATACATAGTACTGTGACTTCCAGTTAGTTGAATAAGCAGTGTGTCAGACTGATTGTTTAAGGCCAAGTTATGCTCATTTAATTTCTTTCATCTCTGAACAACAGAGATGTCTTCAGTAAAGTACCATACCAAACCTAAAAAAACCCAGTAGAAAGTAACATGTTGTAAAGCATTAACACTTGCTCACATTACCATACGTAGACACTTTGTTAAATAAACAACAGCAACAAAAGTACAGGGAAGATATACGACGAGCAGATCTGTCACATCACCATCAAGAGCTAGAAAAAAATTGAGAAATAACTGGGCCATCTGTTTCTGGGGAAGAAGCATTTATGCCACAGGCATGTCCACTAAGATAATAAATAATTCTGCATCAGACACACACATAGCTAAGGTAGTATTTATAGGCACAATTCATTTGAACTACAAGTTACAGAAATACTGTTTAGGTATTCTGTTGCATGATCCAGAGACTATAACCCCAATAATATGCCTTTCTGACCAACTGCAGTGACTGCTACGTGGCCTGACATTAGGACAAGACAAAGTTTACACACAGCAAACTTTAAAGGTTCTGAAACTCAAACGTCTTAGATGTAATTAACAACATTAATGGAACATAATATGTATTCACTTACAGCTGGATAATTAACATAATGTATTTACCCTTATTAATAACCAAATACACAGTGAACTGTGCTGGGCTACACTCTCCTATGGCTTCCTTCACCAATTCTGTTTTCACCCTTCTTGGATGCCTGCCACATCTCTCCAGTCAATTCATCAATCACATCTTTTCATATGCTACCCAATTGCTTGCCTTCCTTCTGAACTTTGCTGTTCAACTACCTGGTTCTCTTTCCTTATTTCTTGCGTTAATATTGTGTCCTGGTTTCAGCTGGGACATATTGTTACTGTACTGCAGCAACAGGCACAAATTCCTCCTTTTGTTATAATCAGACACATATTGCCAAGTACTTCACAGACCAGAGTGAAATTTACTGATGAACATTTTGCACTGTGTAATTAGAAATGAATGATTATTCCATTAGAAAATATTTTCAGAGAAAGTTCATTAAAAAATATTTTCAGAGCTTTCCCACCGTTCATATTTGCTCACTGTCTTCAGGGTGACTATATCTCATCTAATGGGTATGAAAATGAAACATAATTAAAGAAGTGCAAAAACATTTTCAGTATTAGCCACACAGCACTAAAGAACATGGTTGGTTTCCAAACCCACCTTGAATGCCTGACAGTCCTATAGGCAGTGGGAAGTGAGTGCTTTGCTTTTGAATGTGATCTAGATCTGGTCTTAGATGATGAATGATACTTGAAAGGTGATCGAGATCTTGACCGAGATCTTTTCTTGTGTTTTTTTCTCTTTTTTTCTTTTTCTTCATCCCGAGGAGGATCTCTGCTTTTGCTTGAAGGCCTTTCTGCTGCAGAAGTTCTGCTAACTTCTAAGGCAGGTAACGTTCTGACTGCAGTCACAGGACATGATATACTACTGACACTCTGAAATTAAATGTAAACAAAGAACAACAGCATTCAGATCTTTAAGTTGCCTACAGATCTTCAAAAAGTCATACACGTGTAAGCAATGCATAAGTGTCTCCAATCCTTTACACTAACAGAGGGCTACATCTACTCCTGTGCATGACACATAAGTACACACTACCAGCAAAGAAACTTCAGATATCCCACTTGGTAGCCTTGTCAATATACATTCATATACATTTAAATAGAAGAAAAGCAGGATAACAAGTACAACAGCAAGGAAGATAGTAACTAATAATATTCTTACTTTTTTTTTTTTTTTTTACTCATTTTGTGAAAAATACAACCCTCTTAAGAAAACAGTTGTTAATAACAGTTTAACCTTCCATTACTGTTTTAAATCCTCAGTGCATCAGCATTACGTAAAGCACGTGTAAGTAAGGTTCCCATCTCCAAAAGTATGGATCTAACAGCATTTAATGGAGGCTCATACAGTCCCTCACAGTTATACAGACAAGCTGTAATACACATGCTAAGGCTGTCACCTTAACTAGGACATAGTCCTGAAGTTTTCATCTTTAACTTTTAGAAGAAATGTATTCTAAAAAATGGATACTATCAGATAGCTTTTTATCCATTTGTCCCTTCATTTATAAAGGGCTAAATTTAAGAATACAATCAGGATCTACTGATACTCAACATCAAGTTTTGAAGTCAGTTTCCTCCCTGAGCTCTGCTAGTTTGATAAGAACCTCAAGGAAAACAGCAAAATGAAATACAACTGATAGAAGTCATTTCTGTACTTTATGAAATAAGTTTTCTTGCACGTATAGGGTTGGAACAAAGACAAAAGTTATAATCCTAACAATGGAGCAGGTCCTTGCTCAAATCATGTTTAGTCAGTCAGTAATTCTGACTACAATTAAGACAATTAAGCAAAACCTACCACACTCGAAGAAGTTTTCAAATTATCTGCTCATACCCAAAAGTATTCTACTCAGCACCTTGTGTAGAACAATTCAAGTCAGGCACTGTCAATACGCTCCTCATTTCAAAATCTGTCATTCCTTCAGCTGCCATTTCAAGGCAACTGGAAAAAACAGTTTCCCTATCATAATTTCTGCTCCACCTGATCTGACACTTTCACTGTTTGATACAAGAACGCTCACCGTGACCAGAATGGAAACTAATACATTAAAAGCCAAAGTAACCAAATTAGAAGCAGGTGATCTTTTCCTCTCTCTTTACCCCTCTCCTACTGTGAATATGTCAAGGCAATAATTGAGTACGTTTGAATAATAAGAAATTCGGTTTTGCTTTACGTTAGAGCAATGACTCTTTCCTGAGATTTAACTGATAACTGTTATCACAATATTTACAAAAACAGCAATAAAGCAGCACTAAAGTGGTTTGCTTCAAGGGCTGTAAATATTTTCAGTCATGATCATTTGAGTGACTGGTTTACTGGTGGCCTATTTCCAATTTCACTAACTTCACAATCCACGTGCAATTCCAGACACCTCATTTCCAAACTCAAGGGTTTCCTCAGAGACTACTGCAGCCTACTTTTGTTCCTTCACAATGTTATTCATGTCTTTATACAGTACCCCAGCCTTTTCTTTGAACACTGCTGAATATGTAATAGACCATTTTGCCTTGAAGTAGATAACTCTAATAGCCTGAAACAAAATAGCTGTAGGCAAAGTAGAGTTAAGAGGCAAACAAGATGAGAAAGAAAAAACAACATTTTTCAGTGCCCGAGTTTATTTGGCTGCATGAAACATCAGCTATTATACCACTACCAAAAAGGAAGTTAATAACTGAACAACACGGGTACTTTTAGCTTACACTCAGAGACTATTTCAGCAATCAAAATGAAGAACCCCCTCCAATGCTAAGTATCCCTACACAGATACCAAAAGCACTGGGTGCTGAAATGGAGGTCTCCCCTTGTCTTACAGGACACTCACCACTCCTAGAGTGTTCATCTCTTAGCTGCTCCAACTTACTAATGAACCATATTTGGAAAGCTCCAGCAGAAACCATACTGAGATAATGGAAAGATCCTCCAAATGAACACATAGGTCCCAAGTGAAAGACTACAGCTAACACAGAGAGAGAAGCCACATATCAGCCAAGCTGAGGCAGCACCGCTGGGACCAGGTGCTCAGAAGTCTTCAGGTTCCAACAGCAGGATCAGCTGCCAATAAACATGCTGAGCCCCTCAGCTGCAGCTCTGTTTGCCATCAACATAAAAATCATCAACAAAATGGCTGGAAACAGACCTGGAGGCAGAGCTCTGTGAAATAACTAAATGCCAGCAAGTTGCCAGGGCACACACAAAAATTTCAGTGTATATAAATACTGCTTCAGAATAAATCTTTGAAAGAAAACAAAACTGCCTTGTGTCTCACAAATGGAAGATGCTGTCAGCGACTTGAGCTTTTACAAGGGAAAACTGATCCGTGCAAACTAAGGTAACAGATGCAAGAGACTGGAAGTGGGAGTGGAGGAGTGGAGCAAATAAACAGAAACTCAAAGCCAGTGCAGATACTGGCTAAGCATTTCCAAAATGCTGTGTTACTGATCAGACTGTGCAAACCTGCAGGTCAGCAGAATGCAATTTCAGGAAGTGTGGCAGCAAGCTGGTTACCCGACAAGATTTACGATGCATCTCAAGGGAAGACAGATTAACATTTTTTGAGAGCTCTGCTAGGAAATTTTCCAGGAAGCGTTCAACGAACCACGCTTCTTTGCCCACCTAGGACAACAGCCTCTTTTTTCAGCCCTCCCTAAATATATAGTGTCAGACTATTGGAGTTCCTCCTCAGTGTTGTATTTGGATCACTGAGGGAAATTCTTATAAAAGAAAGCTTCCTAAAATAAACATTCCTTGTGAGAAACAATTCAAACATGCTTCTTTAGAAAACAAAGATGACCAAACAACTCTTCTTTAGCAGCAATGGGTTAGGAAAGAGCTCTCTCTCTCAGGAAGGTTTTACAGCTATGTGAGAACAAAACCAGAAGACCAGTTCATAACAAGGCACTTATTTGCAGTATCCTAAGAGCAGGACACACACAGTTTTTCAGGGGTTACATTACCTAATCAATACTCAAAAGCAACGTCTGAAGTGAACCAAAAAGGTGCCTATCACAGCAGAACAAAACACTGGCACTGTTCCAGGTGCAAATTAAATTAACTGGTAAAGAGCATTACAACTTAACTAACACTCCTGCAGCTGGACAGTATTTTTTCTGCTCCAAACAGCTTTATTTTGCATTAATTTGAATCTTTATTAGATCAAAGTTGGAAAGAGAGAAGGATGTTACAACTGCAAAGAGTTAATAACTTATTTTATTGAAATGTGAAATCGCTTCACACCCTGCTCTACCACAGAACCTTTTTCACTGCAGATTCCCCCAAAGACTATGCTGAAATATTCCCTGACAGAGAAGTAATAAGTAACTGTCTACCAGCAATGAAAACATAGTATTGCTTTGTGCACCAAAGAGAGCAGAGTTATTACCTTAAGAAGATTTCATTAGTCCTACCCTAAATAAAATAAATTACCCCAAAGCAATTAAAAGAGTGATAAAAACACTTGTTCTTATAGAACAAATTAAATACTAGATACTCAAAGACCCAACTGTTTCATCTCTGTTCAGCTGCTGCACGGATGTACAGCAATTAACACTGCACTGACCATCAGAATTTCTTTGAAAACAGAACTTCTCATTTTCAATTCTGAAAGGCCACTGCAAAAAAAAAAAAAAAAAAACAAACAAACAAAAAAAAAAACAAAAAAACCTGTGGTTGTGAATCTGTGTTAGTTACATGGAGCTGTATGTTGGGGTTGGACTCGATGATCTCTGGAGGTCCCTTCCAACCCCTACAATTCTGTGATTCTGTATGCCTTTTTACCCTCAGTAACACGAAGGATAAAATTCAAGCCATAGAACATTCCTAGTAATTACAGTGTAAAGAATTACAACTCTCACGTAGTTTTTTGTTTTGTTTTTTAGTGATAGGTTCTTGCAGTAAAAAAAAACCAACAAGTTCTAAATGCCAGCAAGATCTCCACTACTTGTGCCCCAATGCCACACCAGTATGCAGTCTTCTGAAAAAGTAAAATAAAGGAAATTTCCAAACAGACTAGCTAACAACCCCACCAATCATTCCATGTTAAACAGAAGATAATGATACATATATTCTGAACAAAACGTCAAGTGAGAAATGGATGACCCTAAAATGTTTGAAAGCTTTTTTGTTCCTCTGAATACTAAGCTTCTGGGATTCATTATGCAGTTACATTCTGATCACAAACCGATTTTTTATTAAATTTACATGCAAACAGAATATTATGTTATAAATGATCATTATTCTAGGGAAGCATACAGTAATACCTACTGCCTATTGCTCAGAAAGCTGGATCATCTGCAGCAGAAAATGTGAAAGATGCACGTGACCTGCAGTTCTTGATAGCCCTGTTAAGCTTGGAAAAACTTGAATAACACCTTGTTTTTAAACCTGTACTACAGCTTCTATGTCTCTTGTAAACAGACCAGTCTGCACACACACAGAAAAGAATACTGTTATACACAGGACAAAAGTAAGGACAAGCCATCTGAGAAAGAAGCAAAAACCAGGTCTTCAAAAGAGAAAGGATGAAAGAGCCAAAACAAGTTAAGTATTGCTTTGTTCTACAGAATCTTTATATTCAGAGGCACAATAGCAGATGACATTAGGGACAAGCCAATCAAATTATGTGCTTGCTTGTTTTTGCAGCACTATGATAGTGGACTTTTCCCCCTTGTTTAAGTTTGATTTTAGAGTTTATATAGGTAACAGTTTGGATACAGCCAACTGTCTTTTACATACAGATTAAAGTACTTATCCATAAAGCATTTCTGACAAGGTAAAGCCGAGAGATGAGCAGAATACTCACTAGTTGATAACCATCATCAGTGATAACCATCACCAGACATGCTATTAGATAAATCATGCCTCGTATACAAAAATTACACTGTCCTACACATGCAGAACACCCGCCAGTGCACTACATAGCTGCTTTGAAGAAGTCAGATAGACCAAGCTGCAGGGAGCACATAAAGCTCTGCCCAGCCAGCCACCAGCACTGCCCCCTCCTATTTTTGTCACCACTGTCCCATGTTGTCTGTTGTACCAGTAAATTCTAGGAGATGCCCTCTCTCTTAACTGACTCCAACGGTTCCTTAAGACTTCTTCCTTTGACAAAGAATATACCTCCGCATTTGTGTCTGACTGACTGCAATTTCTCTTTATTGACAAACCCCGCAGATTTCTCAGCATGATTTTCTTGCTACAAAAGCATGCACTGATCGCATACATGAACACAGAAAGGGAGAGGCTACTCGGTTGCTGTTACTCATGTCTCCAAAAAGGGCAGACTTCACATGCTGCAATGTTACTGGAAGCTGATCAGCTTGGGAAACCGAGCTAGTGCCATGTTTCACAAGCACTGCTGGAAGGAAGGACTAGGCTGCACCCTGACTGTTCTCCTGCAACACTCCAAAGAAGGGTGAGGATCTGTTTCAGAAAAGCTGTGCTGCTTTGCTGCTCAAGCTCAATTATTAGCTTTCTGCTCCTCTTGCTTCATTTCACTTTAAAGGAAAGCAGGAAACAATATAAAACAAAGAATTGAGCTAGGGGAAAAAGTGGATCAAACTGTTTTTGTGATCCATCTGAAGCCAAAAAGCTTCCACGCTCTATATTCTATGGTATCGACTGCCCTTCACATGCAGTTAGTGCAATCAATTGTTTTCAAAGACGTAACATATACTCAATATCAGCCATTTTCTTAAGAAAAGCAAGGTATCAGGAAAATCTGACAGAGGTCAAAAAAGCTTTGCTCATTTAACGCATTTCTACACAGTGTGATAAAGGTTTTCAGCATCACTCTACACTGAGAATACGCATAAATAGCATGACTAGTTTTTATGCAGTATTTTGGCAAGGACAATCTCATGGGAATTATGCATCTCCCATGGAAATTCTCAACCCACTTTCATGCCTTATTGTATTTTTCAACCACTTACGCAATTTTTGAGACAGATTTTAAGCTACAAATAACCACTGTACTACATTGACTCTATGACCACTGCGCATCAACTTTTGCTCCCTGGATCCACACTGGTTGCTTCTATTCACAAAAGGGAGGTGAAATATGCTAAGTGGTATTTTTGGTAGACTAAAATGCTTATGTTTTCATTTTACTAAATTTCTTTTAGTTCCACTGACCAAACTGCAAAATTAGTTTTACATCTCTCTTTCTACTGATTGCATGCATTTCCTTGATTACAGCTACTGTAGTGACCTTTTATTATTGGAGAATACTTTGACCAGCTGTGTTCTCAAATGAATCTTTCTGAAACATGACTGAAAAAAACATTAAAATAAAAAACATCAAAATAAAACATTAAATTAAAATAAATTAACAAAACAAAACTGTGCTATGTATTCCTTTATAAATAGACGTGGATATCATGATGCAGCTTACTGGATTCTGAGCACTGACTACAGCAAATGCCTGCTCAGTAAGCCAGTACTGGCACTCCCAATTTTATTTCAAAAATGAAGGTCACATCAGTAACACTTCAATATACATTTGAAATTCTAAATAAGCCCATTTACAAACAAATAATTTTCTTCCCAACCTTTTCTACTGGTAAGAAGCAGTGAAACAGGTTGCTTTAAAATTCTGAGATATACCAGACTTCATCTGTGAGAAAAAGAAATGCCTTCTCTGAAACTGCACATACGTGGTAGAAGAAAAACAGACGTTTTTAGCAAGTAAGCTTGCTTAGAAGTGGAATAAGAGTGAGATTTTGTTGCCAAGTTGACCTGTTTTCTAATAAGTTCAATTTAGAACTTCAGAAATTTTAGATGCGAGTGGGGGCACTCATCTGCTCTTCTGAAAAAGACACAACTGTTACTGAAAAATTATTGATTTTTTCAAGCATTTCCTTAAAGAAAAATGACAAAAGAATCTTAGCTTAGAAATATCTATGTCCTTGAAAAAATCCCTTAAGAAGAACGGACTGAAAGACTCAAGAATTCTGCACTGGCATGGTTTCTTTGCGTTCACACTTCAACAGATAACTGGAAAAATATACTGAATGTGTGCCAATCACAGGGAAAATTCATTAGCATTAGCAATGAGAATCCTGAACAGGATTTCTTTTAGCATGTGGTCACTTCTAATTCACAAATCTGCCACCAATCAGCCACCACTGATATGGTTTAACTAAAATACATGTAATTCTCTTTCACGTGTCTCTTCTCCTAAAAGTTTTTTGAAGGATAATTCATGATTTGGAAAAAAATCAAGAACTGGACAATGAAGTATTTGCACTGGAATTCTTTCTGTGGGAGTGGACATGATTGAGAGCCACATCATTCACTCATGTTCCAGCATGTCACAGTTATTACCTGAAATTTTCAATCACTACCCAAAGTTTTGCTCGATCAATGCAATCAAGAATTTCTTGCTGGCCTTTCTAGGAGTGGCACAGTTCCAAAACCAGAAAACTGAGGTTCTATTTCCCAACAATATTTGTGTTTGCAATATGCACAATAAGTCTAACTGCAGCACATATAGACGAACACAAAAATATCTTTCTGGCTGGTGTAAGACCCATAACGATACCTTGAAACTACATAAACTTCAGACCCAATTTATGTTGAGTTACAGGTAACTACACAGCCTACACCAAATCTTTTCCCCACAGGCACTGACAGCTACTGCAGTAAAGCCCTGAGTCTAAGCCTATTTCACTGAAAATTGGTTTTGACGTGATTTTTTTTTTTCCCATTAGGAAAAGAGGTTGCCTGGACTTGCTGGAAATGACCATGGAGATGCTGAAAACACACAGCCACATCTTTTGGCAGGCATACATGACATCACACTGGATTGGAATGTGTTATGATAGAACAATGTTAGGCTGAAAGGAAAAAAAAGGGTGACACTCCTGGAAGTAAAGTTATCACTTCATAAACTATGACAAGCACTGGCAGAAAGAGAGTGGCTCACTGTAATAGCCAGAATGAGAGAAAAAAAAAAAGAACAAAAGCCAAGGAGAAAACCAGCTCCTTCTCCTCTAGGGAAAGGATGAAGTTAAGCAAAGAAAAACTTGAATGGAAAATATACAATGCATGTGGGAATGTGATATTTGGATTGAAATTACTGCTCTGCTGCCAAAACCTACAGATGGAGAGAAAAGCTTCAGGACAGAGCTACGGTGTATGAAGAAATCAATACTAGAAGGATTTTCCTATATAATAAATGTAAATCCTTTATTTAGGCTTTTAAAATTGTGATTATTTTACTGAAATCAAAAAGGGTTTATGTGAAATACGCTAATTCTTAGTTGTCATGAATGGCAATTTTCATTCATTAACAGGAAAAAAAAGCAGATCTGTGGCTTTGATTAATCAAGTTTTTTAGAGTTTGCTTTATATTTCAAGAATAAAATTTGCAGAGAAGTATTTCTAGAACTAGCTAAAGAAGGGAGATGAAGAATGCAGTATTTGTATGCTTCTTATCTAATCCAGATTTCAACAAACTGGAAATGATAAATTCTGGAAACACCATCTCTCAATTTCTGTATAGTGATCTTGAAGATGCAAATCAAAGTTATGAATATACTGTTAAAGTAAAGAGTCTACTGGAGTAAGTCAACAAAATGTATTTCACTGTTACTAGAGTGCTGAACGTGACTGAAGTACAATAAACAAAAATTACCAAAGAAAAAGCTGACACTTTAATTCCAGTTTTGTCTTCATTAACATAAAACACAGATTTGTAATCTGAATTTCTCAGTAGCTTGTACTTCGAGTTCTTTTCTCTTGCAGACTATTTCTTTCTTTTTAAAACAACACAGAAATAAGCATTTTGAATCAATGCTGATCTAACTTGGCGAGCCCAATCACTTCAATTTGAACTTCTTGTTTTGACTCTTTATTGACAATCTGCCCAGAGAGAAGCATGTACAAACACATTTGAATTTTGCACCACTATTCATAAACTATTTTTAAAATCTAATAACAATAGCAATAATAAGTCTCTTATACTAAGTCTTATACTAAAATTTAGCCTAAGAGGAAAATCTCTTAGCATTGTCTTTTAAAGCACCTGCATGAAACATTCAACTAACATAATGATAAGTAACAATCATGATAGAGTCTAGATTCTTCCTATCTACATTTATTTTCTCAAGCTAGAAGCCTTAAATTGTATGGATCAATTCCCTACCTTTCTGTCACAGTTTTACATCAGCTAAATTAATAAAATAAAATTAAAAAATAATCAACAAACGCACCAAAATAAGTGAAAAGTAAGCTCAGTTGCTGAGAACTATCTCAAAATCTTGAAGATGTCTACTCACAACAAAACACATTAAATAAGCAAACATTAAAACTAATAACTAAATAAATTCGAAAGGGAAGCATTCAAATTCACAGGCCACTACTGCAGAGTTAATTTTGCTAGCTTATTTTGCTTTCTCTAACTGACAAACTGAACTCTGAGTTTCACATCGTATTTCTCTACCAGTACTTAACTGACATGTAAGAAACATCTCAGATAACTGAAAAAGATTAACAGTTTATAAAATATAACTCTCTCTCCTTCTGGAAAGATCTTCCATCACTTCAGTCAATCTGATAAAAAATACTGTCAGATTAACATCTTGCAAAATAAGTCTTATGCTAGCTTCATGGTAAAGAGAAATTTATCTCCTCCTTACCTCAACACTGAAGGAATTCTCCTCCACCTTCTCGGTTTCTGCCTCTGACAGAGGATTTTTCAGGGTCTGCAAGAACAGTGCAGCTTTCCTTTTGCGCTCTGCTTGTAGCTGCTTTTCCTTTGACTCCTTGGAGGCCTGTGCAAGCTTCTCTCTTGCTGCAGCTGCTAGTCTATCCTCAAGTTTCTGTTTTGCTAAGAGAGACAAACATTAAGTGTAGTGTGAACTACACATCTGCAACTTAAGTTTCCTTCAAAGAAACAAAACCCAACAGACTAGCCAAACAGTTCCCCAGCTATATACTCAAACCTTTTCTAGTACCTCCTTTCAAAGCACTAGTAAAAGGTACTTACTACCACATAGCTTCACAAACTGTTTGCCATTGTTACAAGCAACAATTACTGTTATGTGATTAAAGAAAGAAAACAACCCACTTCATTTAGTGATGCATCTAATGGAAATTTTGCCTAACCTGTTCCATCTTACACTTCCAGTTTTGTGTTCCGTGTGCATACAGCGTAACTTATCCGGTTAGATGCAGTTTACCCCCATACAGCTTTTTCCAGTCATTTCTCACGTTTCATGTATTATCATGGAAAATATTTCCTATTTGCTTTAGATCTCTACCACTACAGCATACTGAAAGAAACTACTACTCAGGAGTGAAAAAAGTATATTTTGAAAATGAAAAAATTAAATTCCTCTGGCATACTTACAGTTCTAACAAAATATGAAGTTTTTAAGCTGGTACACATGACAGCATCTCTACTTTATTAAACAATCTCTACTGTGCAACTGCCTGGGGGATGATTCCTTTAAAAGACCATTTCATTCCAATTCACACAACCTACCTTTGTGCCCTTACATACACAAACACAGTAACAGAAAAACCCATACAAAGATTTAATGGCACTTCATTGTAAGAGCAGCAAAACATCAGCAAGGTGATATTAGTGTATATGGGCATGCTACATTATTGAAAAATAGCTGGAAGCATTTCACTGTTCTGCGAAGAAAATGAGAAATGGACATGTCTTTTTGTGGACTGTGTTAATGCAAACTGGAAACCAGAAGTTTAGTGCTTTATTTCAAGGCTGTGAATAAAATAAGTAACAGTAAGATCACGCATTAGGTCAAAACATTCAGTGACAACATATTACAGTGCCAGTTTTAGTTGAGCAACCAATGAAAATTCGTGTTAAAAATAAACAAGGAACTGTGGGAATAGGAAAAAAGAACCCAATTCCTACTAACATGACAGAGTGATGACTGAAAATACTCAAAATGCTATGCTTTACGAAGGACTCAATCTGTCATTTTGTTTTTAGTGTAACATGAGATACCTTGTTTAGCTTCCAACTCCTCCTGTGTAAGTTGAGGCTTTTTCTCTTCAGCAGCAACACAAGGAGTGGTAACAGCTGGAGTATTATTTGAAGCACTATTAGCACTCTCCTGGCCTTCCTTGCCCTCTTCTTCCTCCTCATCACTGTCATCATCTAATTTGACACGGTTTTTCTCCAAAGGAAGAAGGTCATTTTCTTTGGCCTTGATTGCAAAGCTTATTGGAGCAAATGATGCTGTGAATGAATGGGTTAGATTTTACACATCATTAGACTACAGTGGAATGCAAGTTGAATTTGACTTAACCATCCATAACATCTATAGCCTGTACTATGAAAGAAACCAACCAACCAACCAAACAAAAAAAGCTTGTAAGCTTGTATAATCCTCACACTGTGATTTTATTCTGGGGGAGAAGACAACATAACCATTCTTTCTCTTTTTCATTGAAGAAATTTTGGAAACTTCATTTGCCCTAAAATGTTCAGTCTCAAATTAAAAATCTCCATATTTCAGATACAAACCATTTTCTAGACACAAGCATATTATATGGTTGTTAAAATGTTTCTCCATTTATTCAAAATTAGCTGAGGGTCTCCCACACTCAAAATTATGTGTCTTACACAATAACAAGAGTGTGTTAGTGACTGTCTTTCAAGAAATCCTTCCACATTATCCCTCTGCTGCTACAAATGCAAGAGGAACAACAGTCCACTTGGACACAAAAAGGGTCTTTTTTTTCCAGTATGACTATTGTCCAACATGTTGATTAACCAAGTAATAAGCCTAGTGCACTTCCTCCACACATGTGGTTTCTAAGAGTGTTGCTTTTATTCAGAAGGAATAACTCCTTTCTCACACAGAGGTTATAACTGTTAAGTTTTAAATTACAAAAATAAGATTCCATTGTGAACACTGATGAAAGCTTTCAACTTTGCACAAAATTGAAACAAAACAATTTATTCTGTCAGGCAGTAAATACCTCAGAGTCTGATAAAAACATATGAAAACAAGCAAATTGATTATTTGTTTCTTTTTGACGCTTTTAATGAAAATGCTTTCTGCATGCTGAAATTCTTTCCCACAACCTCCACCACCCCCTTTTTCTTTCCTTCAATACGTGCTGACAAATATTTTTATGGCCAGCAAACTGTGCCAACATACCTTTTACCAATTTGCCATCACTGACAGTTTTAGGAGGAACATCCTTTTTAGTTTCTAGAGCTCCCTTAGCACTTGGCTCAGATCCATCTTCAGGTGTGTGCCCATCTGCAAGCTGAGTTTCACTTGGTGCATCAGTGGTAGAATCTGCTGGAACATCTTCGGATGAAGACACTCCCTTTTCAAAAGAAATACGCAAACTTACCAACCGAACAGCTTATGGCAGAGTTAACACAGTGCCTGGGGAGCTGCAATTCTGCCAGCCATTTCAGAAATCACTATCAACAGCTAATTGTACCTCAGTAAGCAGTCAAGACTGAAAGCCTGCTTCTTATAACACGCTGCTTCACATAAACCCACAGGCTGCACAGACTAAAGATCTGCAGCAAGATGTTATTTTACAGGTAAGGAAACGTTCTTCAGCCAGTACACCTCTGCCAAACAACTGTTTTAAAAATGGTGCTTTTTAAAACTAAACCCTAAAAGCATACACTTTCTTTCCAAAGTATATCCTTTTAGGTCTCGATCTCCAGGGCCCAGGACAAAATCCATTACAGTTGACTGACAGTGATAGAATGAAAGCTCCTGACATTTTTTGCTACTATATAATTGCACGATACTTTCTTTACAAAGTCAAGTTACTATAGAGATGAACACAGGTTAATGTTTGATGACTTCTAGCCTTTTGCTGAAGAACATCAGACCTATCGATGGCTTTTGTGGCATTAAATTGATGTAGTACAGATCTTCTAAGATTTTCAGAACAGTAAACAGTCACTGTTATGTGACTGAATCGTTCAAGAAAACTTCTAAACTCATACTATAAAAATACTAAGACAGATGTTGTAGAATATTAAACATATTTACACAGCAAGTTGGGCGATCAGATTAAATAATTTAACATTTAAATGAGTCTCTCTCAACATGGTGTTAAATATATTTAATATTGAAATATTAAGTGTTGAAGAGATTCATTGCTCCCTGAAGCCCTTCCCTTACCAACAGAACTAATTACTGAAAATCCCTGGGGAAGAAATGGACTTTGTGTATTTACTGAAGCCAATAGCACAATTCTCTATTAACTTTTATGGCCAAATGGAGAATAAACAATTGTATTAGTTGCCTATACTTATGTTATTAAAGCATAAAAATAATATTGCAATCTTTATTCTAAAAAATTAAAAAGAATGGCATTATCTACAAAATCTTGCAGTAGGATGATATACACTGCCAGATACAACCTCAGGGAACCTGAACCAGTTTTTCTGCTTACTTCTTAGCAAGCACCTAGGAGGAAAAGGTTCCTAAAAGGAACACCTAAAAGGAAACTCCTGTCATTACATTTTCGGTTGGGGTTCAGTTTCCCCAGAAAGTAACTATTAAGTCCCAATTAATTAATTAATTATGTAACTCGTATGAATTCAACAAACCAGTTTGCAAATAAGAAATTCTAGAATAAAAGCTATCATTGTGGTACAGGATGATTTTGCATGTAACTTATCAACTGAATAAGATTATATTTACTACAGCTTATCTTTAAAAACAGTGTTTTCAAAGCATTTTTCACAGTTAAAATATGAGACAAGTGTTTCAAACATCGAATATTATTGAATTTCTTCATTTTCCAGAAAGTTATTTTGAGGAGTATACCCACAGGCCTACCTTCTTTCAGTTTAAGTAATTAATTGTTGAGCACTCCAATATAAGCCTTGAGATGACAAATGACATAGGGCCTAAAAAGAAAATAGCTCTTTCCCATGAAAAGTTAACATCAGATAAAATATTTCTGATAATATTTGCAATTTTCTTTTCAGTAAGAGAACAGACAATCTAATGCTATTAGCTAACATGAGAACGGTTAGAAATAAGGATGCCAAGTCTGGATACTATCTTCTAATTACACGAGTAGAGTAAGCAAAGGAAGTAATAAGCTGTATGAGATTTTGAAGGTCCAGTATTTTTCAGTCAGTCGTGCCAGTATTCTTCTCTTATAAAATCTCCCTTAGAAAAAAATCATGCCAAAAACATAGTTCAGCTACTACTTTGCAAAGAATCATGAAGCTGTTAAAAATTTATATCTCACCTTTCTGAAAAAAGAACACGAATCCTAATTCTACAAGCCTCTAAACCTCCACAAGGCATATATTCAAAAGATTCATGGCTTGCCATTTTAGAATACAACCACAGTGAGTGGCTGATCACACTAAAAAGCAAGAACTAAATATCACATATCCCAAATTAAACGCTATACAAAATTAAAAAGCAACAAAAAAAGCATTCACATCCTTTGCTGAACAAGTTCTCCATCATTCAGAGTTCAATTCTTAACAAGTCTCACAGCAATACACTCAGTAAGCAAGTCCTTTGCTCACTTGCACTGCAGTTTAACGCACATACCTGACAGTTGTCACTGCTCTCTTTTTGAAGGAAGAACTGTTTTTTAAATTCATAATAAGGGTTATACTGGTGCCATGGTTGTAGGAACTCAAATCTGTTAAAAGAAAACTGAATTTGTGAAAATGCACATGAACACAGTAAATACCAACAATCCACTGCTGTCTAAATCTTTGCGGATGGAACCCTATTTGGTATTTGGAAGGACTGTAATGTATGCATAAACTTCCAGGTCTTATATGCTGAAAGCATGGTTTCTACAGAAGCTTTCTGGTTGCTTGGTTGCTTTGACGACTGGAGCAATAATACTCTGGCATTACCTTTCAGTAGGTCCCTGAATTTCATTAAAAAATAAAAATAATAAAAATAAAAGTAATCCCCTTCTTGAGATCTGCATGCCATTTTAATATACTTGTAAATAAAATCCTCAACTTTTAAAATAAAGAGTAAAATAATGTTTTCTCTTACCTGAGATCATTCTTGGCACGAACACTTGTTTCAAATTTTATCCCATTCCTAGCAACATATTCAGCCAGCTTGTCAATAACAGGTTGGATATCTGGGGGTGGAGGTATAATGGCAACCACTGGAGTAATTGTGCTGAAAATATAAAAAATACACCGTTTTTATAAATAGAATACAAACAACTCTCAGTCTCCTGTTTTAACAAAAAACATGAAATAGAGGCTTGTTCTGGTCTCATTATGCAGTTAAAGTAACTGCTGATTTTCCAACTAGCAAAAACTTCATAGAAGACAAATCAAATAACCACTCATAATATCAAAGACCAAAGTGACACCAGGTAACCAAAGCTGTACTGATAATGGCAACATGACTGAGGCATCACCAACCACAAAGCTGCCACTAAATATTTTGTACTGCGGTGTAGGAAAAAGATTCCTCCACCAAACAAGCACATCTATAAAATTATGTGGTACCTTGTAGAAGTTGTGGTAGAGGTCAACCCACTGCTGCTATCACTTGTGTCAGGGGGAGGTGGAGGTGTCGTACCAGGTGGTGGAGGTACAGTTCCTACCCCTGTAGTGCTGGATACAGTCACCCCTGCAGGCAAGGCATTGTAGTAGGTGGCAACATCTATTCCTGGAGGTGGAGGCGCGAGGCAGTAGGTTCCATCAGGTAGCATATAGTAACTATAATACATGGCTGCCACAGTTGCTATAAAGAAAACATTTAAAACATTTATTTAAGAATAATTTTCTTTTAAAAGAAAGACATCTAATAAAAAAAAAAATAAAGTAACAACTACATCAGTACAAAACCACAAGAATTTAGATTCATGCAACACCCTAAGAAATGGTATCTAATTCATCATGTTAAAAAGTGAAGGAATGCATAGGAACAAAGACAGAATCAGAATAAACTGAGAGACAGCTGGAAGCCAAATAGGTAGAAATAATTAAAAAAAGTGAACCAGAGGAAGCCTACAAGAAACAACCTAATATGAAATAATTCCTCCTAAACTAACTCATCTCAGGGAGTTTAGCTTAGTTAGAATTGTATATGCATTAAGAAAGATGAGCATATATTCAAAACTAACACTGAGGAATTAGATGGCTATTATCACTGGCCAATTAATTAAATTACAGCATTGCTATAAGAGCAAAATGTATTTTCAATACAGAAAAGTAACTTTAAAGTTCTGTTGTTTCAAGTTTCACTTTATAAACAACCCTTCTAAATACTATCGGTCAAAATAAAAGTATTACAGCTATGTAAAGCTAGTAAAAATCTGTTCTGAATGTTTAAACAGTTTTTCTTCTGATCTGGCAAATACATCTGCGTTACCAGGTTTGGTATCAGTGTTATTACAACTGTGTATCCACTTACATAAATATAAAAATACACCTTTTTCATTTAAGAAATCAAAGGTTTTCAGCATTAGGGACTTTGAAAAGAATTAGAGGCACATAAATACAACTAATTTTGACCTCACTTTTTTGGTTATGAGAATTCACAAGAACTGCACGAGGTTTAAATATCTGCCCACCCTCCCCACTCCATTTAAGCTTTTTCTAAGATGGTAGCATTTTGATGGCTACTCAGTGGAAGGATGCACCTTCAAAGACTGAGGAGATTGGAAAAGAATAAATATCAGTTATGAGTGATCAAATATGAATTTAACATATTTTCTTCCCACTAGCCTCTGCACACCACCAGCTGCCTAATCACAATGCACTCACAATCAGAGGAATATTCCACTTGTGATGTTTGTACAGCTGCCCCATCTGTTGATTGCGGTGTTGATGAATTATTATCTGATTGTGCTTTGCGGACCAGCGCTGCAAGTGGATGATCAGGATCTACTACCTTCAAAGGCTGAACAAGTTTTGAGAGTAAGAATAGGTTAAAACTTGAAGTACATATTTAAAAAGACATGGTATGGTCAATCTAATTTGGATTACGTTACGTTAATTAAATATCAATAATATCATCCAAATACTGAAATTACTGTTTCTGTAGCTCCTGTATCAGAATCGGCTTATTTTTCAAAAACTTGTGGAAAAAAACCAAACAAACCAAACCAAACCCCAAACTTTAATTTGATAGAAACACGGATCCATATCATGAATAAATAAGTGGTTATTATTTTATTGCTTACATATAGTGCTGGAATAAGACACAGAATCTGACCTACACTTCAAGAGCAGCAATAATTTTGCTGAAAAGTTATTCACTAAAATTGTTACATTATGTCAAGATCTTATTTACTAAAATCTGAAAACATTTCATTTCAGTTTTTATCAAAATAAATTTGTTTCAAGGACAGCTAAACTTGTCAGCAGGAGATTAACACCTGCACATCGTAACCTTTATGCCCTGTAAGCAGATGTTTTAGAAAGTTACTTTAATACAATGAAGTACCTTCACGAGCTCTTCAAGTCTACTGGATTTTTTAGATGCAAAGAGACTCGGATGCAGATAGTTTCCATCATCATCATCATCGTCATCATCCTCCTCCTCAGATTTGACTTTCGAATCTGAATAAAAGCAATGTCTGAATTTAACTTGGGTTTGCTACACATTTTTATTGAGAGAGGAAGAGGGGACAGGACAAGCACATGTTCTTCTTTTAAGTAACAACATTTTTCATGAATCTGCTTATTCACAAAAACACAGATAAATGACGACACTGCCAGTCATCAGTAAACCTTCTGTTGGACCAGTGCTATGGAAGTGTTTATAAAAGCTCCAAGACTGCAGCAGTTCTGTGTGAGCAAGTTTTCCTAAATTTTTTTCTTCTAGAAAAGTTTATCCAATTTAAGGAAAATTCTGAATCATCACATCAATGTCAGCTACAGTGTAACTGCTGCTACTACAATACCCCCAAAATATATGGCTATGTTACCTAAAAAGATCAGTGGATGCCCCAACGATTCACACCCCAAAGCCATTTATTTAACAAGCAACTACTTACGTTTTTTCTCGTCTGCTTTATTTTCAGAAGGAGCAGCGTATCGCCCCTCCTTCATAGCCTTCTGAATGAATTTGTAGTAGGGATTGAGGTAGTGATCAAATCGCAAGAAGTCGAACTGGGAGTTGCGTGCTTGCTTGGCTTTCAGCATAATCTCAAACTGAGCTCCCTGCTTGCAGACAAAATTTGCAGTTCGTTCTATAATCGCATGCATTTTTGCTGTTGGTGGCTGTGGGAGTAAAATAACATGTATTTATATTTTCATAAGCAGCTTGTAGAGTCTCCAAACTCCAGAAGGAAGTAGAAAGAGCAGCAGTTCCCTGACCAGCTTCTCAGCTTCCTCTACCAACAGTATCATCACCACTTTCAACTGGTGGAAGCATATCAACAATGAGAAAGAAAAAAAACAGTCCCCACCTCCCCCAGCAGCTCTTTCATTTTCTTCTGCAAGACGTTCTGCATCTTTCACATCAAACTGAACTGGGGAACAAATTCTGGCTGAGCTTGATGCAGCAAAAACATTCTTTAAAGGCAGGCACAGTCCAGAGCCATACCACAGGCAGCACACGAGAGGAGACAGACATGTTTGTTGACACAGCAGTGCCAACGTACAGTGGATCTACCTTTAGATCCACCATGGATCCTGGAGATCCACCACGCATGGTCTTATCTCTAGAAGTGCAAGCATTGTCCCCTAGCTATAATAATATAATATAAGCTTTTACAGTGTTGCCCTCGTGAGGCCCAATCTGGAGCACTGAGCTCAGGCCTAGATGATCTTTAAGGTGCTTTCCAGCTCAAGCTATTCCATGACTGTCTTTTCTTGGAAGGGACATATTGCATTGTCCCTTCCAATGCAGTATGCATTGTTCTATGTGCTATCATGTCCCATAAAGAGTCATTAGCTACTTTAGCAATAAAAGAAAATGAAGAAATCTAAGTAGCATCTATGCATTTCCATTCCTGCAATCTTATGCTATGTCAAGAAGTGAGAAGAGCAAGAATGAATAAATTCACCATTAACTGTTCTTAATTTCATACTTAGATAGGTCTTTTTTTCTTGTGCTCAACAAACTGTGCATTCCTATAGCAAATGAAATGTCACACTAAGAATTCATTTCAGCTTTGAATTCTTATTGGTCCAAACGCAGATGTATGCCACAGATCTCAGAAAATCCTTTTCAGAAGATCAGAAGCACAAAGAGATAGTGGTGCTCTATTCAGGGAGAAAGTCTGAATGACACTAAACAGCACATATTTAGAAATTATTTTGGAATCTATATTAGAACAACATGTTCAATCAGGAAAAATAATTAGTTGTTTCAAATTTCACTTGTCCCTCTAGAACACTACTGAAGATTATTTTAATTAGAGATAATGAGGTTCTCAACAAATGGACTGTTTTGTTCATTGCCTGTTTCACAATTTAATCGTATATGAAATTTATCCTCTCCTGCAGTTCTTACATTGAAATATAGCGTGCATTTCAAGGCCTAGAGATTTACAAACAAGGCAACAAATCAGCAAGGAAGCTCAAGAAAGATCGTACTAGAAATTACTATCTGGCTTTGAATTGGAAACTGATATTGTTTATAAGCTCTGAAACACCAGTGATCTGCACAACTTCAGAAATTTTACAAAGCAAAATGCATTAAATCACCATCAAGTAAATGCAGAAGTCACAGATATATTTTACTTTCCTACAACATTTAATAAAAAAAGACTGAATTAAACTAATTAGAACTATTTGTTTTAACTTCTAAAAGCAAGATTACCTGCCAGAACACAGAAAAATAGTCAAATTATGGAAGTGCTACCATCTAGCCTCATATTCTGTTCCAATCTTTAATTACTATGGTAATTAAAAATTTTTTCCTGAGTGAGTATTCCTCACTGCTAGTTAAACAACAACCCTTCACTCTTGACTGAGCCTGGAAATCTTCTCTTGCCTCTCAAATATGCTCTTTTTTGAGAAAACACAGCAATTTTCAAACTTTCTTTATAAAACTGATAATATCCTCTTGTTGCACACTTCCATGGCATCCACAGGCTTCTTAAAATGCAGTGGTGAAAACTCTGCCCATGAACCCAGACCACAATCTAAGCAGTAGATGACATGTATGCATGACATAACTCTTGTTTTTTATGTTCCAGAATGACATCACTGCTGCAGCTGCAGTTGCCATACGCTCAACATTCAACAACTCAGCCTCTGGATCTTCATTTAAACAGCAGTGTTTACAAAATGCAATGCATCTGTACATGTTTGCCAATAAATTGTGAATCAACGTAATGGCAAATTATTATTATTTCTAGACAGCAGGGCAGAGTGTGCAATATGCTTCACAGCAATTGAATTAACACACGCAAAAAAAACCCCAACAGAATATAAACTTTCAATGTTAAAACTGAATTATTTGCTTGGAACAACAACAACATCATCATCACCATGGCTACAAAAATATTCCCAAAATTTCCTGTCCAGGATCAAGCACACATTGTTTTTAGAGTTACTGTCTAGACTTTTCTGGATTTGTTGGTTTGTTTTAAAACCCAAACTAAACACCCCCATTCACTTTCTGTTCATTTGAATACACTGAATTTCCATAGCTGACTTACATGAGAAATTACTCCGTTAAGCACCAGACTCCACTCTGCAACTGTATAATTCATAAGTAGTTTCAGAACAAAAGTCAGCAAAGCAGATTTCTAAACAAGAAAACTTTCTTTCACCTGCAGACACTTTTTGGAAACTGCACACAAATGCCAAATAAGCGGTTTCTGACCAAGAACTCAACATTCCTAAGACTAAAGGGTAACTGCTAATATAAAGGCAATAATGTACAAAAACCTGAACTCAGCAGCAAGTTTGCAAGCACTTAACTGTTGAAATATACTGTAAGATTGCACAGAAAAAAAGCTGGAAAAGTTGTATAATAGAGATGTTAAACAGCTCTTAGTCATATATTAGAAACAAAACAAAACAGGAATTTTCAATTAATGGCTAATGAAACAGATGAACAGTCTCAAACAAATACACTGTGTTCATGATCAGTTATTCTAAGAAATTGCTTTAAGTCTTGACTATCCAAGGTTATCAAGCTGAGAAGGCAAGCCAAAGCCAAGCACAGTATAGAAGAATTTTATGAGACTTTCCAGTATCTTTCTGAAACTTGAAATTAAAGTCTTCATGTTTACAACTGTACTGAAACACCGGTATTACTTCGGTGAAGGATCTTGGAAGGAAAAGAACTGTTCAGCATCCCTCAAGGAAAACATGCAAGCTGCCATTAAGCCCATAGTTTAGAATGTAGCAAATCCTGGTACAATCACATGTAGGGAAAAGCTTCCACAACTCTGAAGTTATTTCAGAATCTTCTAAAAATAAACTATTACCTTCCTCTTTGTCTAAGTTAGTCTAAATGCAGCCTTTATGTCCAGTCACTTCCTATACCCTTCAGACTGGGACTGCACATCCATCTTTCCACATGATCTGTGACACCTGACGTGATACTAAATACACTTAGTGTAAGCACAGTCATAACTTCAGCACGAACAAGAAGATTCAAGAGACTTAAAGAGAACTTAAAAATTAAAGAAGTACATCTGAAATGAAGCTACAAGTTGAGAATAATTTCAAGTCCACCAAAATGAAATTAATAAAAAAAAGCACCACAAACTCCTTGAAAATCCAGAGAAATGCAGTATATATTAGAAGTACACACATACCAGTTCCACATCAGAAGGTACATTCAGTCCTGGAGGGGCAACAAAAGGTTCTTCATTTTCTTCCACATTTTCTGTCTGAGCTGTTTCTACAACAAATGACAGAGGAAAGTATTAAAGCACATAACATGACAGTGTAACCAAATGTTAACAAAAAATTACTACAACAGAGTTTATCTAAAAGGATACACAGTGCAGAAATTTCTCAGATGAAACTGTAAACAGTAACACTAAAGACATGCAGATATGATTCCTCTGCCTGATGTTAGTAGTTCTGTTTATACTCAATTTGACTAAGGTTGCATAGATTAGGTATTAGGAAGAAGAGAAACCTATACACATCAGACCTGACTACAGAATTGGAGACAGATAAGTCTCAAGTCAAACTGAAAACACGCACTCTCATTACTGTTACTCCTTGTTTTTACAAGAAAATCTACACATAATGAATGCATTGGGTGAATCTTCTCATAACAAAATATAGACACCCAGCATCTCTAAGGCTATTAAGATCCACGCATCAGGTCTGACTTCGGTTCCTTGTTATCTACCATTTCAGTACACACAAACAAGCCAAAGTACTTTCACCACATTCCTTACCCTAATGAAAACTGTAGAAGAACGCAATAGAGAGAATAAAACCCACTTTCATAACCTATAGAGACACACCAGTAGTTGCCTTAATAATTGATTAAATAAATGTTGCTATTCATCTTAGAATTCAGCCTCAAGTTGGTGTATGGTTGCTTTCGGATCAACTTCAGCACAGCCAAATATTTAACAGATTTATTACATGAATGACTCGTCTAAAATAGCCATTGCCTTACAAAGGTCAGTTGCATCCTATTACGAGCTGTATCAGAAATATTACTCCAAAAACATCTTGCTTTATACAATATACTAATTCAAGCAGTTTACATTGAAAAGCAACTTTCAGTATTGTCTATTCTTCTAATTATGGTTTAAACATTCTAAGGAAAAATGAACTTCAGTTGTATTCTAGCGATTTAGAGAGTACAAATAAAACGAAACCTTAAGGGAGATAAAATGTAACTTGGACACAGAGGTCTATGCGTGTACTTTAAGGTAACATGGTATCATTCTGATGTTACATTTTTATTACTGGTCAGCTTCAAGAAGTTACAAACAGTTAAATGCAAACTCACTTTGAAGGGACAAGAAGTGTAAATAAAGCAATGACATTTGTACAGTAATACATGCAGGAAAGTTCAAGTCAATATTTTGTGCCCTTTAGAAAATGCACGTGCAGTCTAGATGCTTTTACACACTGTAAACTACTAGTAACCTCCAATGGGTCAGGAAAACTATGGACACAGGCAACAGAACAGCCTAGTTGTGCACCAGGAGCCATAGTGACTGCTTGCATGCAAACTGTTACCATGCAAGAAAGACAGCAAACTTCTCTATTGCTATATGCAGTTTTTTTTTTTAATGGATTCAACCATTTTAAGCCCACAAAGGTACACAGAAATTTCGACATTAGGGAAAGGAAGAAGCAGCAGACAAAGAACAGCTCTGTGTCATTCGGCAGCAGCTCCAGCCAATATTTGAAGTGTTCACAGAAGTACGGTCTGTAATTCGCGTTACAGTTACATGCATCTTCCAATACTGAATTTTACTCTATTACAATCTATAACAACCAATTTAAGGATTTATAGTCCTATATTATTGGAAATGGCTACCATACAACAATCTATTAAAAAGCTATACAGTTTCAACTACAGCAAAACATAATACTGATGTATTTATATACTCTCTTCTTCTCCAACTACTCTCAAATACCACTAGGACGTGCCCCTTTGTCATCCATCATTACTATAAGTTTTCAATTCATAGTCTGATAAGAAAATTAACAACTAAGATAATGCTCCCATGAGCTACTATGAGGACTTCTGCTTCTTGTCAGCAGTATAAGAACTCTCACATTACAATGAAAGATTTTGTAATAGTTTAGTATGGCGCTATCATGCAGTATCAAATATTGATTAAATAAATATTAACTTGAAGATTGGAATAATTCTCTTTTTTTCAATGACTCAGTAATGTTCAAGCTGTACCTTACTCCTGCAAGAATGATTCCACTAAAACTGAAATATATCATTCTAGGTATCTCACCGTTCCAGAAAGAGAAACATGTACAGCAACCCACATAAAACTAGAACTCACAACTCTTACTCTTTTACTGTAACACTACAGCATGTTACCACAGCTTTGCAAATGCTTCTTCCAATGAAGACAAGCTATAAGGTTCAACAGATTCCATTTTTAGCAACCAACAGAGAGGGGAACATTCACTTCTCTAATGTGGCAGCCAAACTAAAAACACATTCTTAACAATCCCCAATTTTTCTGCAAGTGCAAGCTGTACACAAATCCTCACAACATGCAAAACAAATATGTGACAAGAAACACTAAAATACTGTAAGCAAAGAAGACATGGAAAGTATTCAGTTATGCAATCTACCAAACATAAGGGAATAAAACAAATGATTATACTGAAGACGACAATGCAAATTCAACATCAGTACTGAAGAGCAGAGGAAAGCCCCCTTGGTGGAATGCAAGCACCAGTGCCACTGCTCTGACACAGCCAGCCTTCCCACACAACAGCAAGAACAAATGACCATCAATGCTGCATTATATCCCATACCTTGGTAAAACAAGCACATCTCCCATCTCAGTAACCTAGTAACATAAGTTAAGCAAGCCCAATCACTAATCAAACAATCCTAACTTCACTAAGACACTTGAAAGGTTCCTTAAGATTTCATGTTAAAACGCAACTGACTTCAACTAAAGATTATCACAGGAGACAGAAGAGCTGTGCTCTTCCCCTTCACTAAGGCTCACTATTTTTATGCCTTACCTCTTTGTTTTGCAGGCTGATGCTCCTCCTCCTCAGTGGGTTCTGAAGGGTCATAATAATCACTGCCATAACGAAATCCCACTGCATTATAGGTACCATCTTCAGCCAAAGCTTCGCTCAGTCTTTTATATTCCTCCTCTTGAACAAAAACACAATTATCAATTAATACAACATATTTAAAAGCTTACGTCATAAAAAAATAAAATAAAATAAAAGGTAATGACTCTTACTTAAGTTTTCAGATGAGACATTTTCACCTAATCAATTTAACTTTCATTAAAAATTAAATAGAAAAAGGCAGCACGTACGTATGCTGACTACTAATATCTCCCTGAAGAGATAAAGGCTGCTGGTTAAGACACTCTAACGCAATTATGCAGACAAGAACAATGGCGTTCAGTTAAACGACACTGGAAAAGAAGCAGGATGTGTTTATTTTATTCTTTTTGGGGGGAGGGGTTGAAATCCCAGTGCCCTCAGAATCAGGGCAATTTCTGTGTGGATCTATATTTAAACTATCCTGTGGTCCTCTCACATACGCAAAGACTCCCGTTTTTCGAATCCACTGGATACTGTCAAGATAACATCAGAAAAAAGAGAGTATAAAATAAGTAGGAGTTAATTTAATTTCATAATTATTTATTTAAACATGTGCTAACTAAGGAAGTTTCCTTGAGTAATACCTTGCCTCGCCTCCTCCTCAAGCAAGTCCGTATGCAAGGCTAAATACCTCTCTTCATCACAGAGGGCCTCTATTCTAGCTTCCTCTTCAGATAACTGATAATCTCTGTTCCACGTAGAATATTCAGCATCATACTCAGAAAGGTCATGCAGGTGACCGCGCCCATCATACCTGCAGGACGAAAAAGCTGGTCAATGCAAAGAACTTAGGGCTTGAGTTCATGTGACTACTTAAATACTTACCCATTAAAAGTGAAAAAAAAAAAACCAAAACAAAACAACAAAAAAAGCACTTTTATGTTAAAGCATATTTCCTTTTAGAATTTACATTTAATTTTGCTTATCATTTGTCACCAACTATTGAAAATTTGTTTAATAGTCTAAATTCCTCTCAAAGAAACTAAAAAATTATTACAATTAAAGGCCAAGCTATCCTTTAATAGTTAAGCGGGATCCATTTCCTTAACAGCTCTTACCGTACGTGGTTCAACCAACCAATCAACGTCACTTGCAAAATATCGTTTTCTGGAAAGTCAAATAGCTTACATTCACACAAACCCGAATACATAAATACCTATCCGTAAGAACCAAACGGTCGAAATTTCCTCGCTTCTTTCTGCTAGTCCCGAACTCTCAGGAGATATCTTCACCATAGAAACTTGCGTCCATTGGAGGTAAAATCATGGCTAGGCTCGGCCCCTAGCCATTTGGCTGAGGAAATAAGTTCTGGGTTATGTGATAGAGAGACACACATACATAGGAACAGTAACATATACATGCAATTTAAGGAGGTTCACCGTAAAAACGGCAAAGATCAATGATGTACACTTCCTTTCTACTACGCAGAAACAATTTTATTTGCAGGAAAAGCATTGCATTGGGATAAGGTGTGTGCATCATAAAAGAAACTGATTGAAAAGCGTCAGTAAAGTCCACTCCGCTGAGGTGTCTTCCCATACACAACTCTTGACTTGTGCCAACTTGCTAGACCAAAAACAAAGAAAGTAAATATTCTAATAGCAAAAAGTTAATGAAACATGTAGGTCTGGTTAATCAAGCTCTGTTAGAGAACCTTCAACTCATGTCTTCCCACAGCAACGTGCTTTTCTCAAAATGGTGAAAATGAAGACTTCTTGCTGCTGGAGATAAAAAGAATCTAAGCTTCTAAAGGAGTCTATAGGATTAGTAAATGCAAGCTTCCTTAACTTATGCATGTATGTTATTTCAATTTTTGGGGTATTGTATTTATGTACGTACATGCACATACTTATTTTTGCTCCCAACAATTTCTGTGACTACCACAAACTGGGTTACTGCTGCATATAACCACAAAATGGCCTCTACTACTAACGAGACCACAGAAGTGAGCTGCTGTATTGTAACACTTCTCACGTAAATAAGAAGTGCAACATAATATCAATATACAATTGTTTTTTTCACATATTCACATTTACTCAAATTTAACAAATAAACTTCAACCATAAGAATCCAACATTGCACCAAGGTTGTTTCTTTTTTCTCCACTCTTGAGGATTCTTTTACAAGACAATTGCATTGTCTTGAGTTGCATTAAATTGAAACAAGAAAAATCATGCTTAGCATTAAATCAACAATGAAATTGAGGGAACAAATAGCAGAGTATGCCATGTGATCCTTTTCAAGCCAAAATCCTGCCATCTTTCCCAGTGAGGTGGTCAGGGTCAGCCATAACTCTTCTTAAATTGTATTGAACTGTACTTTTAGAGCTCCACTCATGTATACCCAACTTGACTTCTAATTTTCTTTCTCCAGGTAAATGCTCAGAAAATTCATCTGAATAAACTGTTTCTAAATCCCACTCTGCACCGCTGATATTGCTAAGAAACCAGAACAAAACTCAAACCACCAGATTCTGATACACTCTCTAGCCATAGTACTCTCTGGTACCTATTCCTCAACAACCTAAAAAGCCATCTACAACATAAAATTTGAAAAGCAAGCGCCCAAAACCAGGGCCATTCTGGTTGATACAGTGATTCACACATGGCACAAGGAAAATGCAATCAGACAAAGAATTGCTCTTGGGGTACTCCATCAACAGCTTGTAGTCAAGATTATACAGAAATAAATCTCATTTTCTGCAAGGTGGGTAGACATCTTTTCACTTCCCACACTGCATCCTGCTTGCTAAGAGAATGCATAACGCTCCTAATAAAAGCTCCCATGTTCTCTTGGTTTTCGAGTGAGAAAAGATGTCTGTGGTTTGCATGGAAACAGATCATTCCCCCCTTCCACTGCGCAAACTCAGACCGAGCAAGTGGAGGAGGAAGACCCCGCACAATGGTGTCAAAAAAGAAGGGAACTTCCCAACACTGCCAGAGAGGGGAACCCCAAGTTCCCACTGCCGAGGACAGCAGCATTCCACACACAGCACTGGAAGCAGCCTAGCAAGAGGCGCGGCCCTCCAACGCTGCCAATGAAGATCCCCACACATCTGGCAGCGAGCCCTCCGCTCATCCCCCGCCCTCACTTGCCCACAGCACAAGGGGAGGCACAGAAAGAGGCTATAACAGGAGATCTCGCAGCACAGTCTAGGGGTTGTGTTACACCGACCTATCGATCATGATCTTGGGGTCTCCCATCCAAGGAATAAGGTGTCGCCCCTGCTCCTGGTACTGAGCCTTCTCATCATCTCGAAACAGCTTGCAGGCATAGCCGAACACCAGCAGCTCCACACGGCTATTCCCACCTCCACCTCCTCCTCCTCCACCTCCTCCGGGGGGCCCGGGAGCCGCTCCCCCGCCTGACAACAACATGAGGGGCGGCGGGCCTGCCTCTTCTGCGATCCGTCGAGAGCCCCCGACCCCTCCGTATATCGGCGGAGGGCGCGACGAGAAGGAAGAAACTCGCAGTAACAATGACTGTCCGAGCTGCGAGTCCCCCAGGAGGCCGGGCCCGCGCTAAACTCCACAGCTCCAGGACAGCACAGTCGCCATCACCCGAAACAAAATGGCGAACCTTCCGCTTCCGCTGGCTGGGCACAGAACTGCCTGGTTTCCGGCACTCGATAGATTCGCCTCAAATTTCTGGGACTCGAGCGAGAAATTAAGCGAGCGTACAGCGCGGACGGACTCTGGGCTGCCAACGGCCGCGGTGCGAGTAGTTCGAGGCGGCGTGAGGCAGAACGGTCCGTTGTCTGGAGGGGATTCTAACGCCAAGGGCGTGGCGAAAGTGCAGAGTTGGGGGGGCTCGGGCCTGCTTGAGGCGCCTTTCGCGTGTGCGTGAGGCAAAGCGCTGAGGCCGTGCGGGGCGGCGCGCTGTGCTGAGGGAGGGGGCGCGGGCTCGCGGGCGGGAGCTGAGGAGGAGGAGCGGCGCGGCGCGGCGCGAGGCCGCAGGGCGTGCGGCTGTAGGGAATTGCAGCCCGTCGGGTTTGCTCACAGTCGGGGCGTAGCAACCCCGGAACTGGAATGGAGGAGGATAGCTGCTCTGAAGATTTTTTCCAACAATTGAAAAACTACACTTCTGCTAAAAACACGTAGTCCGGGACAGAATTTTCAGTAGTGTTTACCTCAGCGTGATGACTTTCTTCACCTCAGTAAAGCAGAGCTCGTCAAGAATTCGCTGTGAGGAAATGATTTGTGTTGTAATAAACGTTGTAATTAAGCGCATCATGTTTCCCAGTCTGAAATGGGGGTTGGTCCATGGCCTTTGTTAACAACAATTCTGGACACACATGTTTTTTCTTTCTTCCTTTTTTTTTTCTTTTTCTTTTTCTTTCTTAATCCTGTACAAAGAGTAGTGACATCACTGCATGGAAGGGAAGGGAAGACATAAAGCAGGCTGAGAAAAGCAGTGTGTGGACACTGGGAAGCAAACGTGCAGCTTGTGTCAGCATCAAGAAATACTGCTACCGTATGCCTGTATTGAAGAAATTAAAGCTTTGGGCAGTTATTTTAATCGTGGCTGAGCAATTGAAAACAGAATCCGTTGGGATTCCACCATATCTGTGACACTGAACTGCAACGTTGAAGTAAACTTCATAATACTTCTTATAGGTAATTGTGATGTAATGCACCTGCAGTTCCACGTCCAATAAATGATTAAAAAGTGAAATTCCTGAAGTTTACAAATTTGCAAATCCCCAGGAACAAACTTCATGATGAGTATTGGAAGTTTTGGTAACTATCTGATGGCTTCACAGCCCTCAGTGAGGAAATCTGTTAATGATCTATTGTTTTAAAGAAGAGAGAAGTTATTATTGTATTCCTCTTTGAAAATATGAATACCAAGGAAATGCATGGAAACAGGCTTGAACATCACCTCACAATGTGCCCTTGGGAAAACTTGTAGTAAAAAAAAAAGAGAGAAAACATCAGAAGTCAAAGACAAACAATAGACTGTTTACGAGAGGGTGTATGAAAATAATTTAATATTGATATGTGGTGATGGTTTCATTACTTCCTTAAGTCTGGTAATGCAAGTGTCTCAGCATAAAGATAATACAGCACCGAAATGGCTCTGAGCAGTTGAAGTGATCTTCTAATAAGTGAACTTCAGAATATTTTACCAGGATATCAGCATTTGAGATGAGCGTGCGAGCTGTGAGTCAGATGAAGGACAAACATGGAAATCTTAGTTACAAAGAATGCAATTACAGAAAGATGGAGGGAATATTCTAATGAGTTCTTTAATGTTGAAATGGATAAAGGCGAACAAACAGCGAATTTCCAGTCAGCTGAGCTTTCTGTAGAAGAATCAAGAGACAATCAGAACACCCAGGAACAATACGGCGCCAGGTGCTGATAATGTTTCCACTGAATTATTAAGAACGGGAGGGGATATGCTAACTCCAAGACTATAAAAGCTAATGTGTGTTTATTTGGTGATGTGAAAATAATGTAGAGAAATGGGTAAGAGCAAGTGTGTGTCTGTTTTTGAAAGAGGATAAAGTGAGACCTAAGGGCTCTAGCATCATCTCACTGTTTATTACAGCAAGTGATGTTCTAGGCTATTTGTTCACATGTAGTTAGCCTGCTCAAAGAACAGGCGTGTATAGCACAATGATTACTTTCAAATTGTAAAGTACTCAAGGAAAAATGTAGGAACATGAGCAGACTACATTTAGAGATCTTAGTTTAAGAAAACGCATGATGGTACATTTGCACTGTAATAAAAATATCTGTAATAGATTTTTTTTTTAAGTGTAAGTAAACTACCCCATTTTTATTTTTTATTCTAATATATGTCATCATCATAGTCGGAAAGGAAACTTGGTGCTAGTTGTAGGGTATGTTGTGTTTTCTTATTTAATGCATTTAAAGACATCGAACTTCAATACCAGCTAATAAGAAAATACAACCTGAAATGATGGTAGGCTTCTATTTTGAGGTCTTTGTATAGTAGAATCTGTGTATTATTTCATGTAGACACTCAGTTCTGGCTCAACTGACTGGGAGAAAGAGCAGCAATCTGTAACAAACATAAATATGAATCTTTCTCCCTCTTGGTTTTTCTATTTTCACTCTGTTGGAGGTAGGAAGCCCTTCTTTTTGGGGCTCATACCTATCTTTTTTCCTCCATCACAGAACTGTAGTCATCTAGTATCATGCAGTTTACCTTTAGCTAAAAGTGTAGAAAACCATATTATATCTTAGTTCTGAAGTAGGTTTGAAAGAAAAGTGTGTTGGGCTGATTCTAAAGAAAAATACTGTTTGCCTCACTTTTTGTCCTTCAGCGATATAAAAGAAATTTCAAGTGTACCAAAAGAATGCGTCCAGTGTTATTCCAGTCAAACAGGAAAGAAAGAAATCTCAAGTGCTGGAGTTAAGAGACCTCACTGAAAACTAAGCAAAGACAGGGTAAGCAGTTCCAAATAGAAACGTGCTATTTTTTGGCAATGAAGAAGCTGCAATTTGGGGGTGGGAATTTATATAAATTCAAAGAAAGGGATTCAATTCCTTTATTTTGGTTATAGGGAGACAAAACTGCATATGAGAGTGCTACCATAAAAGATCATTGTTGATCAACACACGCATACTGTCCTTTGTAGTAAAAATGGAAAGCTTACATATCATTATATCAGTTTTGAGACTGGGGCTCAAAGTAGGTTTGTTATTTTTGTAGAAAATGCTCTACTTAAGCTGCAGCCAAGATGTAAGGTTTCTTGTTTATCACAGAACATGGTGTGAACTCACACTTCTGTCAGATGTCTTTATTCTATCTCAGTGGTATCTTATAATGAAAGAGCTGCTGCGTTCTTTAGGGAAGTATGCATAGAATCAGTGAGCTTTACTTGAACCTTAAAATTGTGTATAATTAATCTCTTAAAGAAGATATGCTCTAGATTATCATGACTTTTTAAGCAGATGTTACTGTTACTTCTGCCGTTACTGTAGAATCCCCATGTAAAACATACAGTAATTCCAGTCCATTTTATCACATTTTAAACACAGAATTGCTATGAAATGTGTCTAGGTAAACAACTTAGAGGTATGGCAATGCTGTAGTGTGTAACTGGCCACATTAATGACTGGGAGCAGAGTAACAGAGTAATGGCTGAGGATTTCTAGCTCTTTCTATTACAAGCTTTCTGTAATTCATAGTTTAGTTACTTTATTTCTGGAGAGTTACTTACTACTTACGTGAAGCTTATATTTACTTGTTTGTATAAAAATGTAAGGTTAAATGCTCTCTTCTTTTTGATGCAACCATTATGTCTATTGAGGAATAGTTTTTTACATATTTTTTATGTATCCTCTGTTGGGTTCTTTCTTCTGTGTAGGTGCATTTCACAGCTGCCAATTTCTATGACTAATTTATCTGGTTATGATCTTCTGGCCATAGGTCTGCTTTATTGAGGGTGATTTTAAGAAAAAAGATGCACATGAATATAAACAGAAAATGTTATACTAAAGCAGGAATAAAAGGGAGGGGGAAGGGAGTGGGGAGCATCTGGGAAAATGTGTAACGTTTTTCCCTGAGGTGTTTGCCTTGAAAATGCCCATCAGGTTCTATCAGACACTCCTCGTCACAGGACTGAACAACATAGCTCAGCTAGTCGGTGCTGTCATTTGGTTGAAGAAATTTCAGTTACTTTCATTTTGATGGACTAGAATTTAATGTGCAGCTGATGACAAAACACAACAAAATTAAATAAACTTGTCCTTTTTTCCCCGTTCCATTTCTTTATTCAAAATCATCTTCACTGTTGTATCATCAAAGGCATTTTACTATTGTGCCTGGAAAGAGTAAATTAAGGTTTATGAGTAGCTCTAACAATCGATGTTGAATTTGCTCCTGAATTCTCTTATAGCAGTTCTCTGTTTTCATGCTGTTTTTTCCCCAGAACGGTGATTTGTGTATGAGACACTGCAGTTAAAATGTGTAACAAACCTTTTCTTTTACTCTCCAAAAGATTTAAAGAGCAAGTTAAATAGTTTTAAAATATATTCAGTTTATAATTAATCAAATTCCTTAGTTTCAGCTTTTGTTATATATTTGCTTTTGTTGTTATTGTGGAAGCCCATGGCATAAGTTGTTTGCAAAACATAATATCACTGGAAATTAGCTTGCATTCTGTTTTATGTCTTGTGTTCGTGTTGTTTTTTAAAGTAATGTTCCATCTTGCAGATAAAGTAATCAAAGTGGACTACTACTTTCTTGATACCATAGTTATGTTTTAAGAGCAACCTTCAAAGTTGATAGCA